TTATATATCAGTTTTCTAGATGTCCCTAGGGACGGGGATACGATAGGAACAGGACACACGACACACAATCAGCGGAGTCAGCAGTATGGGTCTACCTATTCTCCTGGCAATGGGTCTACCTATCCCTCCACACAGGGCCTGGCAATGGGTCTACCAATCCCTCCACACAGGGCCTGGCAATGGGTCTACCTATCCCTCCCTACAGGGCCTGGCAATGGGTCTACCTATTCCTCCCTACAGGGCCTGCCAATACCCCACTCAGACACAGTATACTGACTCAGAGCCGACCAGTCCTTGTTTTAGCCCCTAATGCCGAGCGCCAGACAGGGTAAAGCTGAACTATGGATGGGAGGCAGGACGTGTTATAGACTATAAGATTAGGTCATTCAAGAACCAATGTGAACGTTTCTAACTCTTGTTTAATGATGACCCTAATTACATTGAGACAATGTCCAGTTACACACGTCTCCACTCCCGTGAACATTCCAGATTCGAATTTGTCCTATGCTGGTAGTAAACGTCGATCCAACCCATCGGCATACATGACACACCAGCTACTGTTGCGGTGACCCCTCATTCCTTCATATTATATATCAGTTTTCTAGATGTCCCTAGGGACGGGGATACGAAAGGAACAGGACACACGACACACAATCAGCGGAGTCAGCAGTATGGGTCTACCTATTCTCCTGGCAATGGGTCTACCTATCCCTCCACACAGGGCCTGGCAATGGGTCTACCAATCCCTCCACACAGGGCCTGGCAATGGGTCTACCTATCCCTCCCTACAGGGCCTGGCAATGGGTTTACCTATTCCTCCACCCAGGGCCTGGCAATGGGTCTACCTATCCCTCCACACAGGGCCTGGCAATGGGTCTACCAATCCCTCCACACAGGGCCTGGCAATGGGTCTACCTATCCCTCCACACAGGGCCTGGCAATGGGTCTACCTATCCCTCCCTACAGGGCCTGGCAATGGGTCTACCCATCCCTCCACACAAGGCCTGGCAATGGGTCTACCAATCCCTCCCTACAGGGCCTGGCAATGGGTCTACCTATCCCTCCACACAGGGCCTGGCAATGGGTCTACCTATCCCTCCCTACAGGGCCTGGCAATGGGTCTACCTATTCCTCCCTACAGGGCCTGCCAATACCCCACTCAGACACAGTATACTGACTCAGAGCCGACCAGTCCTTGTTTTAGCCCCTTAATGCCGAGCGCCAGACAGGGTAAAGCTGAACTATGGATGGGAGGCAGGACGTGTTATAGACTATAAGATTAGGTCATTCAAGAACCAATGTGAACGTTTTTAACTCTTGTTTAATGATGACCCTAATTACATTGAGACAATGTCCAGTTACACACGTCTCCACTCCCGTGAACATTCCAGATTCGAATTTGTCCTATGCTGGTAGTAAACGTCGATCCAACCCATCGGCATACATGACACACCAGCTACTGTTGCGGTGACCCCTCATTCCTTCATATTATATATCAGTTTTCTAGATGTCCCTAGGGACGGGGATACGATAGGAACAGGACACACGACACACAATCAGCGGAGTCAGCAGTATGGGTCTACCTATTCTCCTGGCAATGGGTCTACCTATCCCTCCACACAGGGCCTGGCAATGGGTCTACCTATCCCTCCACCCAGGGCCTGGCAATGGGTTTACCTATTCCTCCACCCAGGGCCTGGCAATGGGTCTACCTATCCCTCCACACAGGGCCTGGCAATGGGTCTACCAATCCCTCCACACAGGGCCTGGCAATGGGTCTACCAATCCCTCCACACAGGGCCTGGCAATGGGTCTACCTATCCCTCCACACAGGGCCTGGCAATGGGTCTACCTATCCCTCCACCCAGGGCCTGGCAATGGGTCTACCTATCCCTCCACACAGGGCCTGGCAATGGGTCTACCCATCCCTCCACACAAGGCCTGGCAATGGGTCTACCAATCCCTCCCTACAGGGCCTGGCAATGGGTCTACCTATCCCTCCACACAGGGCCTGGCAATGGGTCTACCTATCCCTCCACACAGGGCCTGGCAATGGGTCTACCTATTCCTCCCTACAGGGCCTGCCAATGGGTCTATCTATCCCTCCCTACAGGGCCTGGCAATGGGTCTACCTATCCCTTCCACACAGGGCCTGGCAATGGGTCTACCTATCCCTCCACCCAGGGCCTGGCAATGGGTCTACCTATCCCTCCACACAGGGCCTGGCAATGGGTCTACCTATCCCTCCACACAGGGCCTGGCAATGGGTCTACCTATCCCTCCACACAGGGCCTGGCAATGGGTCTACCTATCCCTTCCACACAGGGCCTGGCAATGGGTCTACCTATCCCTCCACACAGGGCCTGGCAATGGGTCTACCTATCCCTTCCACACAGGGCCTGGCTTCTAGTCTTCTAGTTATATCACAATGTGTCATCTTGATGTGGGAGAACAAGTATGGTGCTGACAAGCTTAGAAACAATTGGGCAAAAAGGGCTTTGAACCCACAATCATAGGTTTCTGGTGTACTCAAGGGATGCAACTCTGCACAGCGAGATCTACCTGGGACTTCAGAAGGGTGCATGTCCGTCTCATTTGTAATTATCTACAATATGTGCAACCTTTCTTCTGCTCCTAAATTAAGTGGAAAAACATAAAATAGTCTGGTGTATCACAACTGTGCCCCGCCTGCACCCTCGTGTCCTATGACCTCGCTTGTCAGACGAGCAAACCCCCCGGGTAGCTCACCTGGGTGGTGTTTGTAACCTGTGGACCTTTGAAGCTGAATGTTGCAATGCCGCAAGTTTCACCAAACCCATGTTTGTCATGACTATAGTTTATCTCTCAAGGCATGACAGATTAACTATAACTAGAAAATCTACAACTTTATGGAAAACAACTTCTGGTTTATTACATATAGCCATGTTTCGATGTAATTCTTACATCATTATCAAGCTGGAGTGTGAAAACTATAATTATATGAAAAAATCGGGTGTTCTTCATGTTGTTTTGAGTAGTATGTTACATACCTATCTCTAAATATACTCTTTACATGCTTACCAATTAACTTCTTCAGAGTACTGGATGAAACTGACAGACAACTGTTCTAACCAGAAAGGTGTTTGCATTCTCTGCACAAATAGAAGCAGCCACATCCATGTGCATCTTTTCCAGAATGCCCAAAAACATTCCCACCAGAATCATGTACCATCGTCAATTTTGACTTTTCCAAATCAGCTCACAGCTGACCTCATGAACATTCATCTTTGGTCCCTTCTGTGGTCCTATGCAGTACAACATAGTCCTGTACCTCTAGCTGCCCTAAAATAAGCGCTTCTGTTTCATTTTCATCACTTTCAGTTTGGAAACAATACGCTCACTGCATGACAACTGTTGTCTGTAGGTACCTTAATCACAAAGTCAAAAGCACTTCCAGTTTAACGAAATCACTTCCAATCTTGAAACATACATGTCTAATAAAAAAAATAGTAAAATAGTAAGTCTCTAATCTGGAGCCACATTAATAAGAAAGTTATATGCACTTCCAGCTTGATGAAATCATTTCTGGTTAAGTAAAGTCCCATGACTCTAGTTACCTCAGTATAAAAGTTACATACACTTTTGGTTCAGAGTCCTAGCCACTTGAAATAGAATCCGGAAATATTGTGATGATCAGTGAAAACAAGCCATTCCGGCAGCAAGGAACAGTACTGACAATAATGACTGAAATAGCAAATGCACTTTTCAAGTAATATCATCATTGAGTTTTAATCAGTGGTTACACTACGACTGAAGGTCGACAGTCAGGTGACTGCGAGTGGCTATATTTAGCAGCATGTACAGGTAGTACATTACAAGCACTAAGTGAAAGAAACCACCTGCAGATGTAGTATTTAAAGTGCTAATGACCCAGTTCATTGTTAAATATAACTGTTTACAACCCTTATTTTCTGTGAACATGTGACTTTGAACTTTGACAGAAGTATGCATACTGTTTGCATAAGCTTTTGACCTTGACCTTAAATGGCCATGCATGGTGGAAATGTCCCAAAGATATTTATAGAGATCTGATTAGATACACCACATTTCATTGAACTTCCATAGCCAGTTTAAATATCTCAAAAAGAATATCTTACCTCTTTGTACAGATTGAAACACTACATATGTTTCAAAACAGTCTGCCTGGTGGGTTCACAGAAGGATTCACTGTGAATGCTGTATTTTTCAGTAAACTTTTACTGTAGTGGTTTTTGAGATGAGGAACTAGTAGTCTGTGTCTGAAGGAATGAATGTACAGTCAAACATCACTGTGTCGAAGTTGAACAGACCTACTTGGAGTTCTCTGAGGTTCGACACAACTGAGAAATAAACAAGGGATACATTTACCGACTGTCAGGAAAACATATGCAACACACAAACGGGAAACTGAAATAAATGTTCAACATTTCTTTCATTATTGATCATCAATTGAATGGTGATGACCGATGAGTCAGGCGAGATCCACTTACCAGAGTAAATGTGTGCTGGAAGTACATATCTGGGACTGGAAGGGACTTCCAGACACAGACCAGGTTAAATAATGATTGAATAAAGAAAGAATATGTAGGGACCAAGATTTTACTTCGAGACAACTGTAAGTTTGACAACTGTGCACAGTTGGAACTATTGCAGCTGTATGACCAGCTCTGCAAACTGTGCGGGGTGGCGGACACATGATGACCCATGTCACACACACTGACTCCCTCCTCCTCCTCCTCCTCCTCCTCCGTGTAGATACAGAGGACAGGTAGCCACTTATTTTGGCATGTAGAGTGTCCCATAAATTGCTGCTTTTGTGTCCATTGTAATCTTTCCCTCCCCTCAAACAGCTTGGCCTGACATCAAGTCTGGTTGGCAGGTAATTAAATATGTTTCACCCAACCTGTACTTACATATGAACTGTTTGAAATTTGATTTGATCCAGACAATATTTTTCCGAGTCATTGGCAATGAGACAGTAGTTTATGTGGCATCAGTTTTATTACTGAGTCTATATACAGCAATGACATGACGGTGATAAGAATGTAAACATACAACACAGATTCTCCAGTAACAAGATGGATATCAATATAATCAAACTACCTTATTACATGAGACGTTAACCTAAGAGTAAACTTTCTCAATTGTTTATTCAACGCTGTGTCAATGATTGGAACTGAATTCGCTTTTCAGTGTTAAGTAACCCAGGAGTAACACCTTATCTTTATAGCACTCGCAACATATATTCTGCAGATATACTACTTTAAATCCATGTACATCTCCTGCCACCGAGGTGTTCCAGCCATTCTCCAGTCTATCTGCCAACTAGTAACAATTATTGTGTCCACGAGGTCAAGACAAACAGACCTTCACCTCAACTGTGTCCACTAGGTCAAGTCACACTGACCTTCCCCTGAACTGTGTCCACTAAGTCAACTCACTCTGACCTTCACCTCATCTGTGTCCACAAGGTCAAGTCACACTGACCTTCACCTCATCTATGCCCACTAGGTCAAGTCACGCTGACCTCCACCTCAACTGTGTCCACTAGGTCAAGTCACACTGACCTTCACCTCAACTGTGTCCACTAGATCAAGCCACACTGACTTTCACCTCAACTGTGTTCACTAGCTCAAGTCACACTGACCTCCACCTCATCTGTGTCCACTAGGTCAAGTCACACTGACCTTCACCTCATCTATGCCCACTAGGTCAAGTCACACTGACCTCCACCTCAAATGTGTCCACTAGGTCAAGCCACACTGACCTCCACCTCAACTGTGTCCATTCAGCCAAATAAACCATGGCCTTCACCTAAACTTTGTCCACTAGGACAAGCCGCACTGATTATCATCGCATCATCTTGGCCTTCTTCTCTGGGGGAGGCTTCATGGCAGCATTGGCGGCTGGGGATGAGGAGCTGTTCTTGTCCTCTGCCTTTTCCTGCTTCACCTCCTGCTTCACCTCTGGCTTGGCAGCCTCCTCTGAAACACAGAGCCACACATGGTTTCAAAGCTAGTCCACTGTGGTTGAAAGACTTACTTGCACCTCAAGAACACCTTCACTTCACCCAATGCATATTCATCTCACCCTCACAACCATATAGTCAACTTGACAAATGAAATGAAGTTAAAATGAAACCCTACATATAAAACAAAATGCCTGGAACTACAATTTGCTCTGTTGGTCATTTTGGTAGAGACAGAGGGCATTTAAAGGACATTTTCATGATTTCTAAAATTTTGATGACATTCTTCAAGATCATTACCATTTTGAAAAAAATCTGTTGGACATTTTGGATGACATTAAGTCAATGATCTGAAACCTTGTGCGTATATTTGAAGTTTCGTAACATCTAACTTTGTTACCATGGTAAAAGGAGAGCTGTTGATTTAGTGTCAGTCTACTAACAGCATCAAGTCAGTCCAAGTAGAGAAAGGCTGATGACAAGATGAGATAATTCTAATAATATTTAGCAGTTAGGACGGCAGATACACCGCAATAAGAGCCATGTTTTAACATTTTATGGTAACCATAATAACAATTGTAGAATATAGTAGAAGTTTAATCATGGACTTGACTGGATGAATGTTTAAAAGGCACTAAACCTACCTTTGTTTTCTGGATGACTGGGGGCCACAAATTGGGGTGGATACTTCTTGCCCAACTCTCCAAGCAGCAGGTCCACTCTCTGGCGCTGAAACAGTGAGCTCGGCTCCTCACGCTTCCTCTTCTCCTTCCCTTCAGGTTTGTCTGCAACATGTGACATACTAGAACATTGTCCACATGTGACATACTAGAACATTGTCCACATGTGACATACACTAGAACATCATCCACATGTGACATACACTAGAACATTGTCCACATGTGACATACACTAGAACATTGTCCACATGTGACATAAGCTAGAACATTGTCCACATGTGACATAAGCTAGAACATCATCCACATGTGACATACACTAGAACATTGTCCACATGTGACATAAGCTAGAACATTGTCCACATGTGACATACACTAGAACATTGTCCACATGTGACATAAGCTAGAACATTGTCCACATGTGACATAAGCTAGAACATCATCCACATGTGACATACACTAGAACATTGTCCACATGTGACATACACTAGAACATTGTCCACATGTGACATAAGCTAGAACATCATCCACATGTGACATACACTAGAACATTGTCCACATGTGACATAAGCTAGAACATTGTCCACATGTGACATATAAAAGAACATCATCCGCATGTGACATACGCTAGAACATCATCCACATGTGACCTACACAAGAACATCGTCCACATGTGACATTGTGGTGATAGTACTAACTGATGTACCGTGGTGATGGTACTAACTGATGTACCGCGGTGACGGTACTGACTGACGTAGCCTGGTTTAAGTCTACTGACCTTTCTCTTCCTTGTCCTTGAACTCCCACCAGTAACCTTTGGAAGGATTGTACTTGGAGAAGGACTGTGCTGGAAAACAACAGGATCATTTGGTTAATGATGTCTCAACATGATGATGTGAACAAACATTAATCTAGTTACAGCCATTATGCTTCAAAGTTTCAGCTGTTTCTACCTGGTTTCTTGAATCTACTTACAGCCATTATCCTTAATATTTTCTTGTTTCTTAGATAATGTTGTGAAATTATTTTTTGGTAAATATTGATGCCAACAGATCAATGCCAAAATGATGATGATTTATAAATATAAATTTACTAAACATGCTTAAATCCATTAATGTTTGATATATGTCGAAGACCAGATTTTTAGCCATTGTCACGTAACCTTTGACCTTGTTACAAAGCTGTTCATTCTCAAACATGACCTGTCTCAAAAACAGCCAGCAACAAACATGGTCACAATCCATCAATATTTCCTCAACTCACAACAAAGCATTGACTTTGTAAGTTTCATTGTTAGCCATGTAATCCTGTAAACATCAGCTACATTTGTGATACTGAGGCAGTAACAAATGTATAGTTTTATTTCCATTGCTTGAAAGAACCAAATAATTATCAAAAATTCATTATAACATGTAATAACATTAAACAAAAAGTACCAGGGTTTTACACTTAAAACTATATATGATTTGAAAGGATTGAGCGGCAATGCATACATATATAACATGTGGAGGGGGATACAGGCGGAAGTCTTTCCCGACAGAAATGTGCATCCAGTATGCACAAATGTATGAAATGGACAGGACAGGGGAACTATTGCATCCCAATCTTACAGTGCAGTACACTACATCATTTCATTACTTTACAGGACCGTCATATTTCCTGTAAGAACACTTGAAATTAATTATCTTACCAGTCTTGTAAGTTAATTTACCCAAGCTCATTCGTGATACAAGCGGTAAGGTTAAGCATGAACAACTGAATGAATGAATGGAAGACATCTTAAAGCGTTATTTCACCATGCTCAGCTCTTGTGTTAATGATGAAAAATATTATATAGAGAGCTGAGTTACATTTATTCTTACTGTTATGTATGCATGTACTGTACATATTATTACTTTTTCTGCAGACAGCTAGTAATGTAGACATGGTAGATACTTGACACAGCATGGTCCCCAGGTGTGGTATGAGCACAGGCCCATTATTAACTCAGTATATTGTCTATCAAGTGTATGTTTTAGTTTATGTATAGATAAAACAATACTTTTGATATGAATATGCATATTACATAAGTGTAGATACTTGTTTATGGGTAGTATTTGTTTACGTAATCATAAATAAACAGTGACCTCCATAGCCAGTGCATCTACAACCATGCAAAACACTTTTACTGGTTGACCAAGATAAGTTGAACCAACTCACAAATTGTGTTTGAGACAAGCAGGCAGTGCACAAAAGTGGGGGAAACATATTTGGTTTGTTACAGGTACAGTGAGTGAGTGAGTTGTGTTTAATGCCGCTTTTAACATTATTCCAGTTATATCACGGCGTGTCAGCTTAATGTGGGAGGAAAGCCCAAAGTGATGCAGGGCTCAGATGTTAACCACTTCAGTGAAACCCACGAGCACGGGTATGGTGCTGCCGAGCCTAGAAACAGTTACAAGTTCGGAGGGTGTACGCCAGTTGTGCATGTCTCAGGTCATGATGAAATTGGCTACGCTCCATGGACGCAAGTGTTGCTCATACGACCATTAAGAGATCTGCTTGACAAGTCGATACCAGTATTCTTAGCCAAGATACACACATATCCATCGTACTGCTTGTCGTAGACCACCTGCTTCCCCTTTCTTCACAATGGTACGTGCCAGTGGGCAGACCTCCTACATAGACATACGGGGTCAATTGTCAGGTCCAGACTCAACTTATCCTGGATTATAAGTAGCGGATAACTGGTGGTAAATTGGATGACCCATGGTTATATTATATAGGATTAAAAGTGAATCAGGCATAGTCTTATGCCTATGAATTGTAAGTGGATATCTGTGTTTATAATATACTTACCACCAAAAGAAACGTGAACCATAGAAACATACAGAGAACAATGTACGTTAAAAGGAGATGTTTCCAATGTGTACCACTTAATGACAAAACTAACAGTCAAGTGTTATCACAGCGTGTCTTTATTCTTATCACAATATACTGCATGTGATTTCCAAACTCTACACGCTAATCCTGCACGAGACAAATACAGCATCTCAAGTCATCTATGACGTCACATGTGGTTCGTTCATTATGCATTATGTAAGATCTCTTGAATATTAGTAATTCTTCATATATTAACCAGCATGTATGGTCCTTGCGTTTCTTTTGGCGGTGAGTATATATTATACAAATAATTACTCTTGATCAGTATGTGATAACAAGGACCCTTGTCTCCAACCCCTGAGGTCATGGAGGTGGTTTGACTAGACGGAGGAGTAATCATTCGTTTTGTTATACCAGAATTCACATCAAAGTCTATGATGCCTTTAAACCATTCAGTTTTACTAGTGTGACTTAGCTGCGAACAATCAAATGTTAGTACCAGACACCATCTTGTTATCAGGTCTGTATTCACCACGTGACAGGTCAATACTGATCATGTGACGAGTCAATATTCGAGGTCAGTGTCAGTCACATGATTTGGGGGTCTACATTGACATGTATCGTTTCATACATATATATATATATATCCATTCTTGATCCACTAAAGTTCATTTCAAGGCGTCAATAGCGGTAATATGACCTTGGTTGCTGAATATAACGGTGAATTGTGTGATTTCCTGATCACTTCACACGCGATTTTGACCAAATGAAAATAAAACAAACAATATTGAATGTAATTTGGATTAAAATTAATAAAATAGATTACAAAGGTAAGTCCAGATAAATAATTAACTGTTTTTATAACCAGACAGTGTAATTACATGACTAGTTTGCATACTTCATTACGGATTTGTTGACATGGTATTTCCGGTGTTACGTGCTCACAGTTATGTCTGTGTTGGGGGGAAAAACATCAAAACTCTTCAACCCTGCATAAAAAACGACCCCCCACGCCCCCTTGAAAGCCCCTCATTTGATCTACGAAAGACTCACCTTATACACAGCGATATACGGTAGACATACAGCAGCAGGACTATCATATCTCAACTGACATTCCAACCTTCTGATTCCATGACCACATATGTCATTGTCCCCAACAATACATCCCAATATGTCATACCTTGTGTATGTACTTGCATAGTATGTGTACTGATGTGCACTGATTGATGTACTGCAGATGTATGGATATTGTGTTGTTACTGTTGTATCTGGTATCTCACACAAAGCAAGTAACATATATCTGTGTTGATGGTCGTAGGTCGTCATCACAAACACAGATGTATAAGTCTTTGTGCACTTACTTTTTAGTTAGATATTCTAACCAGTTTCTGAAAAGATGATGCTATAATTCAAAAATATGTTTTCAATTCTATAATCATACACTAAATCTTTCCATTCCATGCCATGAAGAAATCTAAATCACATTCTGTTCCAACACATATTTATTAAGTTTCATTTCTCTGGACCTTGAGTTTCTTTCATATAACATAGTTTTAAAAGTTAAGAAGTTGTAAAGGCAATTGACATTGGTTATTTGTATAATCATGCTTGTTTCTATGTTGACTAAACATGTATGAAAAGTTATTGTGAGAGCGCTCATGCTCAACTTATTCAACATAACTCATGCAGAAATATTGCAAGTTTATTTCTGATTGTTGTTGGTGGCAGCAGATTGAGGTGCTTGTAAATCAGAGTGACCTCCCTTTGTCGTTTACAGTCCAAGCTCAATCCAAGGGCTTGACACCTTGCTACCCCTCTGGTATAGAGTCTAACAGAGAGGTCTGCTGTAAGGAGCTATACACACAATAACCAGAAGGGCTACTCTCAACCCTGCAGCACCAGCTAGAAACTGTCAGTTGTACAAGGGCCAGTGTCACATTATACATTCTATAATACTGTTGTATAGGGACCAGTGTCACATTATACATTCTATAATACTGTTGTATAGGGACCAGTGTCACATTATACATTCTATAATACTGTTGTAAAGGGACCAGTGTCACATTATACATTCTATAATACTGTTGTATAGGGACCAGTGTCACATTATACATTCTATAATACTGTTGTATAGGGACCAGTGTCACATTATACATTCTATAATACTGTTGTATAGGGACCAGTGTCACATTATACATTCTATAATACTGTTGTATAGGGACCAGTGTCACATTATATATTCTATAATACTGTTGTATAGGGACCAGTGTCACATTATACATTCTATAATACTGTTGTATAGGGACCAGTGTCACATTATACATTCTATAATACTGTTGTATAGGGACCAGTGTCACATTATACATTCTATAATACTGTTGTATAGGGACCAGTGTCACATTATACATTCTATAATACTGTTGTATAGGGACCAGTGTCACATTATACATTCTATAATACTGTTGTAAAGGGACCAGTGTCACATTATACATTCTATAATACTGTTGTATAGGGACCAGTGTCACATTATACATTCTATAATACTGTTGTATAGGGACCAGTGTCACATTATACATTCTATAATACTGTTGTATAGGGACCAGTGTCACATTATTCATTCTATAATACTGTTGTAAAGGGACCAGTGCCACATTATACATTCTATAATACTGTTGTAAAGGGACCAGTGTCACATTATACATTCTATAATACTGTTGTATAGGGACCAGTGTCACATTATACATTCTATGATACTGTTGTAAAGGGACCAGTGTCACATTATACATTCTATAATACTGTTGTATAGGGACCAGTGTCACATTATACATTCTATAATACTGTTGTATAGGGACCAGTGTCACATTATACATTCTATGATACTGTTGTACAGGGACCAGTGTCACATTATACATTCTATGATACTGTTGTATAGGGACCAGTGTCACATCATGCATTCTATAATACTGTTGTAAAGGGACCAGTGTCACATTATACATTCTATAATACTGTTGTATAGGGACCAGTGTCACATTATACATTCTATAATACTGTTGTATAGGGACCAGTGTCACATTATACATTCTATAATACTGTTGTATAGGGACCAGTGTCACATCATGCATTCTATAATACTGTTGTACAGGGACCAGTGTCACATTATACATTCTATGATACTGTTGTATAGGGACCAGTGTCACATTCTGCATTCTATAATACTGTTGTACAGGGACCAGTATCACATCATGCATTCTATAATACTGTTGTACAGGGACCAGTGTCACATTATACATTCTATGATACTGTTGTATAGGGACCAGTGTCACATTATACATTCTATAATACTGTTGTATAGGGACCAGTGTCACATCATGCATTCTATAATACTGTTGTATAGGGACCAGTGTCACATTATACATTCTATAATACTGTTGTATAGGGACCAGTGTCACATCATGCATTCTATAATACTGTTGTATAGGGACCAGTGTCACATTATACATTCTATAATACTGTTGTACAGGGACCAGTGTCACATTATACATTCTATAATACTGTTGTACAGGGGTGTCTAACTACTGAAGTGTGACACAGTGGCTAGCATTTCCTTATTTCTGTCAAATTTTGAGGGTTTATTTCCTTACTGTCATGCATTATTACTCATATTTATAGTTCTGTGATTTGAATCATAAGTCAAGTACAATGTACATATGTTGAAATACACCACCAAAATATTTAGACTTGTGAAAACCCCAACCAGAAAAATGTTTTGTCCTCAACTACTACTTTGAGCCATGACACAGCTTGACTTCCCATAGTTTCACAGTGAGTGGTGGTCTCCTGACAACAATGCACATCCTGCATGACTGTTAGATAACATACACATACATACCAGGACCACACTAATAGCATTTCCTAATTTCCCAGGCCAGAATACACCTTAAGCAAATTTTAATATCTTAATATAAAACACCATCACACTGTTGCTACCAAGTACACTCAAAGTGAGCTGAAAGCTGAGGTGCATTTTTATTGCTGGTCAAGGAGTGAGTGAGTGATTGAGTATGGTTTTACGCCGCTTTTAGCAATATTCCAGCAATACCACGGCGGGGACACCAGAAATGGGCTTCACACATTGTACCCATGTCGGAAATTGAACCCTGGTGTTCGGCGTGAGGAGCGAGTGCTTTAACCACTAGGCTACCCGACCTCCCCTGCTGGTCAAGGAGGCTATGTATACATTGATAAAAGAAATGGACCCTTGTTACAAAGTGATGTATCCAAGTCAAAGATTACACAATCAGTGATAATAAGATGTAGACGGTGGTCTGTTGATGAGAGGACAGTATGATCTCAATGTGTGTTATGTACAGATATTTCTGACTACAAGATATTAAATTGTCACAAACTAGTCATTGCTAACTGTTAGTTTGAACTAACTTTAAGCAATAAAGCTTAACTTTGTTTTACTGGCATGAACAAATATGACCTCACTGTTGCTACAAATCATATTGATATTTCAAATTCAGACCTTGTGCTTTCTTTAAGGATTGTTGTTCCTTTTCTGTGCTTTTCACATTTACAAATTGTATATAGTTTAGTGGAGAGATCTTATACTAAGTTTGTGACTGTTTTCCTTTGATAAATGCACAGAAAAGAAATACAATCCTTATACAATGTAGTTACAATTGAGTGAGTGAGTTGGGTTTAACGCAGCTTTTAACATTATACCAGTTATATCGCGGCGTGTCAGCTTAATGTGGGAGGAAAGCCCGAAGTGATGCAGATCTCAGACGTTTACCACTTCGGTGAAACCCACGAGCACGGGTATGGTGCTGACAAACCTAGAAACATAATCGGGGCGAACCGGGATTCGAACCCACAATCATAGTTTCTGGCGTGTCTAAGGGATGTAATTCTACATAGAGAATCACGGTGCCTTAGAAGACTGGGCCGCTCGTGCCCCCATCTACTTACGAACTTAATCATCGTTAATCGTCAAAATATCTTAGTCGGGTACAATTGGCATTGCAAGGATACATGCTGTTTACTGTCTATGTCCTGTCACACGAACGTTTTAGCTTGAATATAGAGATACCTTTCACAAAGATGTCAGGGACCTTAATATTTTCTAGGTCGTATTAATAATCAATTGTATTTCAGTAACGATTCAAAATAGTTTTAGAAAGATCTTAGCAATTAAAGAAAGATAGTAATGTAAGCTGGTGATAAAGGTAAAGCAAATGAAAGGCAAACAAGCGGTGAAACAGAAGGCTGTTTGGAAGATATGACTACAAAGAAATCATATACTACATGGTGCTCTTATTGCAAGAATTGTTTTCTTTGAAATGTTTCATTGATTTATTGATAGTTGTAACCTTGTACTTTGGGGGCTGTCTCATACGAGAGAGTCCCCGATACCATGTTTAGGCATTGTTTAACACCGAACTCAGCAAATATTCCAGCTATATGACGGCGGTCTATAAATAATTGAGTCTGGACCAGAAAATCCAGTGACTGACATCACACATTTGGGACATGTATAAACCATGTTGCGAAGACTGACCACCTAGTTAGTCGCTTTTTACAGCAAGCATGGGTTGCTGAAGACCTATTCTAACCCGCATCTTCATGGGTAAAACATTCTTTCAAATGTTTCAAGTCGCTGCACTGACGAGTGAGGTCATGGGGAATTCCTTTGACAAAGTACTTCAGGGTTGCAAGGCTTTCTAAAGTTATCGAAAAATAACATTCAATTTTGAAAGTCGGCCAATCAGAATCACAGATTGTAATTATTAGAAGAAAATTCGTCTTTTGAAAATTGGTGTAAAAATTAGGAATATATATTTATATTTTGATTTTCTGCAATGAACAAATCTGAGTCCTCTTAGGATTATGGGGCTAGACCGGCTCCTCATACAAAATTCAGGTTGTTATAATGTTCTACTTTCTCCACTAAGAGTACTAATATGTAGAGAGTTGAATGGAACATAGTTGAAACAACAAGAGGCAGCAGCAGAAGATGACAAATCCCCCCGGCCCCAACAATAGCAAAACACACCATGTCAGCCCCTGGTTAATACAGGTACCAAGTTTGGATAAAACATTTTTCACGGTTATGAAAAGGTTATGTAAGTTCTGCTCCGGAAAACAAAATATGGACCAATGGACGGATGGATAGACAGAACAGATGATGATCCCCCTGCATCATATGGGGGATGAAAGAAAAGCCATTGGTCATGTTGGACACGCTGTGAATTTTATTTGAAACTGTAAATACCTACCTTCTTCAAATGCAGACTGGAGATTGTGTACAGTATTTAGCTAAAACGAGAAATAAGAAAGTACATAAACATTCAGAAGGACATTCTTATGACATCAGTTGTACAGAGACAGTCAGTGAATATGGATATATCTACTATGTCATAGAAGAAGGGACTCAAACTATAGGCTTCACACATTGTAGCCACAAAAGTGACATCTAGCCTCGGACAAGCTAAGACTTCAACAACCAGGCAGCCTATTCACATGTATGTCTTAGCCGAGATAAATCTTAGACTTATGACCAAAATTACTACTGCAATAACAGCTATTCTTGAAGCTGTCTTCAACCTACAGCAACATTAATTCATCTGACTGATGAAACAAATCTTAGCTAAGACAGTGAAATTATTCTGGAAACAACATTCACCACCCATTTTGAGACTAAGTCCAAATCGTTTACATGGAAATCGAGAAAAATAGAAATGCCCCAAATCCGCAAACAGCAAAAGGCACCGTTTCAGGCTCTGTTTGATACATCTGCCTATTTCTGTTTAAAATTTTGAACGGTTTTCGAGTTGTGCTCCAGGAAACAAAATGATTACGGACAGAGACCAGGAGATCATGTGCATTGTGGAATGATTTTGTTAAAGGAAGCTTTACTGATCATTAAATCAGGGAAAACTTTTGAAAGACCAGAAAAACATTTTCCTTTCTTTGCCAGGGGCTTCAAAAAAACTAAAGAGTTCAAGAACATCTGGATGTAGATCATAAGCTTGGCATCTATTGGCGGCTTCATCTGCTGAGTTCAGGAAGGATGGAAGGATTCTGGCGTAGGAAAATAAGTCTACAGTATGGGAGTGAGTGAGTGAGTTTGGTTAAAAGCCACTTTGAACAGTATTCCAGTTATCTACCACGGCGTGCCAGCATGATGTGGGAGGAATGCCTGAAGTGATACCGGTCTTTTACAGTATGGGAATTTGTGCAAGATGTCTGCAGTGCTGTTGTTGACTTCACAAGTCCCACTAAAGATAACAACCGAAAGGCTGTCATTGATGGTTACAAAGAGATCTGGGGATTCCCAAACTGTGGCGGTGCCATTGATGGGACTCGGCACATGCCCATGCTGACTGTCTGCAAGGGCACGTGTCGGTGCCATCAATGGGACTCGGCACATGCCCATGCTGACTGTCTGCAAGGGCACGTGTCGGTGCCATCAATGGGACTCGGCACATGCCCATGCTGACTGTCTGCAAGGGCACGTGTCGGTGCCATCAATGGGACTCGGCACATGCCCATGCTGACTGTCTGCAAGGGCACGTGGCGGTGCAATCAATGGGACTCGGCACATGCCCATGCTGACTGTCTGAACAGGCAAGGCCATGGTACTCCATAATCCTGCCAGCTGTTTATCCCTTTACTGATATACAGTGGTCCCTCGATATACCGCTGCCATCGGGGTCCAAGAAACCGACCCCGCATTCTAGGACAGAGCGTTGTACAGATATTCCTTGCTGAGGTTTACATTACGTAATGATGGTAGTGAATGGAACAGTGGCGCAATTATTTCATGGTGGCATTGGACATGTAGATGTATGTAACACTGATCGTGGACGATGATTCAAACTGCATGCTTAAAAAAATAGAAATACTTTGTGTAAGTTAATCAAAGTAGTCTGTATTATTTGATGACTGGATGTTATACATGTAGAATCTAAATAAGTGTTGTTATATTTTAAGTTTTTCGGAAGAAAATTGGTCCGATCGCCGACCTACTCACATTATCAATCGATGACAGTACATTACAAAGCCAGAGAAGCCTTGTAACGAAACTAATGTGCAACCGAGGCTGTGATTGGTTAATAAATAATAACGTGTCAAAGTTATGAAAACACATATGGACACAGCCGGCTCCCTGTATGCACTTTATGTACAATGTACATTGATATGACGTGCGTAACTACACGGTTATTTGAGCGATTTATAAAAATCAAACACAAACACAAACGTAGATTTGAGTGGATAAGAGATATATTTAGTTCTGTTAATAATGATAATTATGCAAAGGGAAAATTGCACTCATACCATGCAACTGGTGCGTGTACATGACGTTATGCATGAACACATTTCTATTTACTAAAAAAGTCATTAATTTTCGATTGTTTCTGACGGTCACGTTCCTCGGTTCTCAGTTGTGACAGTATGCAGCGGACTTGCATCACGTGTAGTTGTTCGTATCTGTCACTTTTTTCTAAGTGCCGCAATAAAAGCTCGGCCCGATTAATAGCATCTCGAATGGAGGGTGCCATTGGCTGAACACTGTTTTCACTGTCACTGTTTTCCTCTTCCTCTTCATCGTCGATGATTTCGACGGGCATTGCTGCGGCAACCAACTCTTGGTCGTTGAGAAGTTCGGCAATCGGCAGGTCGTCGTCGCACGCGTTCCACATCATGGCCATCTCTTGGGATACATCGATGCTGTTCTCCTTAGCATAGTCGCGGAACTTTGGTACAGCATCGATGACATCTTCTTCCTGAAACCCCACAAAATCTTCGTCAACCCCGAATGCTGGCCCAAGTCCCTTCATCTAGCAGTTGTTGATGGTGGCTGGCGTCACCTTCATCCAGGCTTTGGATGTGTGAAGAACAGCATCCTTCACTGTGACTGTCTTCAGGAACGCAACGGGGTCCAATCCTCTTTCCACCAACACACTCACTAAGAATCTCCGATAATGTGCCTTGTATGCTTTGATTATCCCTTGGTCGAGCGGTTGAATGAGGGAGGTCGTGTTTTTCGGCAATAGGAATGCCTTTATGAGTCCATCATGCAACTGCAATGTACTTGCTGGGGGATGGGCGGGGCAGTTATCCAATAGGAAGATGGCTTTCTCCTCCAAGTTCCGTGATCGGAGATGGTCACGGACAGCTGGGACAAACTTGTGGAAAAACTGGCACTGGCCTTGAATGTGTCATTGGGGCCATGAATATCTAGGGACAGTTTCTGAGCCTGCATTTTTGCTATCTCGCCAGATAGTGGTATGCCACCATGTCTGCTTTGCGTGAACCACGCAAACAGCGCTGCATCCAGTGTAGAGTCCGCTGCCCCTTTATTTCGCTTCTTCTGCAATCCCCCGATCTCCTGGGTCTCAAATGCAAGATCTTGAAGTTTTTTTCTTCTTTTAGCAATCCACGTATGGTCTCTGCTGGAATCCCAGTTGAACGGCTGACGCTAGCTTGCGATTCACCCTCTCTCACCTGCCTCACAATCTCCAACTTGTCTTTAACAGTGTACGCCTGTCGCTTAGATTTACTCGCAGTGGTTGCCATGATTGAAATGGTAAAGACTAATGAACTAAGATTTATTTTATACCCTTCGTAATTATGCTATTTAAACAATGAAGTTCCAATGTTTTTTATAGGTCTCTCACGGTTTCTCAAGTCCGGATTAAATACCGGAAGCCATTGTTACGAGTGTTGTTATTGCATTACGCGAGGCCGGTTTGAAGTCCGAAGACATCTCACATGTTATCTTACTAATAACAACAAGCTGAGATGAGTATTAAATCAAACAATGCGGCTTATGTATGTTGTTGCTGTGATTTGATTTTATGTGAGTTTAATGCCAGATCTGTGTACGATATGTTTTTTCACAACCGAACAAAAGGCAGAATGGTTTCGATCACATGCAGCCGGGTACAATGAACGTAATTGTTTTACAAATACACACATGTGTACATCGACTTGGAATTAAATCTCATCAGTTTATTTATAACTTTATTTGCTTTAACGCGCTTTAACGCGCTTTTAGGGGAAAATTCTTCATGCATTTTTGGGAGCCATGGTTTACCCCGCGGTGCATCCGGAGTAGCGTTAAGTCAAGGGACCACTGTATATGTGGAATGGTCAAGAGTATGTGGTGCTCAGACAAGGAATTCAAGATGCCTGTTACATGAGTGGCAGATGCCTCCTATTAGATTACACCCAGATCCGATCTGTCCCAAAACAATTCAACTACCGGCTAAGCTGAGCTAGGATGACCATTCAACCGGGTGAAGGGAAGGTGGAGATTCTCCAGAAGTGACTTGATGTGTCAGTTGGAATTGCCACTAGTGTGAAAACAGTATATGTTGTATTTCATAATCTGTGCTAGATGTGAATAGTAAGTGAGAATGGTTTAAGCAATATTCCCGCAATATCAGGGCTGGGGACACAGGAAAATGGCCTTCATATGTTGTACTCAAGTGGGAAATTGAACCCGGGTCTTCTGCATGACGAGCCAACACTTTAACCACTAGTCTACCCTACCGCCGCAGATGTGCCGAGTTAGATGAGGATTTAGAGGATAGGAAAGATGTACAGTGGAAAGATGATTAGTTTCAGATTGTAGTGTCTTTGCACAATGACTTGGCTCATAACTTTGTTCCTACATAAACACATGTGGAAAATATGGCTTAAATATTCTGACATTACACGATTCAGATGTTCTTCAAGAAAAAAGTTGTAACTGATTTATGTGTCTTTTATGGATGGAAACATGTCTGTCAGTGAAATAACTGAAGCTGAACATGTTAACTGCGGGCAAATACAAAAAAATAGAGATAAAATTAATCAAAATGAAATGGGGGTTTGGGGGAGCAACATGCTGAATATTATTTGCTGCGAATTCGCCGCTCAATAACAATGTATATCATGCTGATCATGTTCTACTGAAGGTAACAGCCACCTGTCTTCTGGCACTGAGGCATAATCATGATTCACAGACCATAAGCAAATAAGCAAACCTGTTACTAAAGTGTTTGGCTGATCACACGCACAAAATACATGGCATGTAAATATACTCATGTGCAAAGATACTTTTGCAACATTGGTGTTGCTCATGTAGATATACACCTGATGTAATGTTGCTACATGAGCAAATGTGTTCACATGACCCATTTGCATATGGTGAGTAAATTTACTTATGTGTGTATTGATACTCACATAAGTAAACACTGTCATGTTTATTTCGGATCTAGCAGAGCAGTGGTGTATTTAATATGCATGATAATACAGTGATTGAATATGGCATAACACCGCTTTTAGCATTCCTGCCATATCATGGCAGGGGACACCAGAAATGGGCTTCACACATTGTACCCATGTGGGTAATTGAACCCAGGTTTTTGGCAAGACGTGCAAACCACTCCGCTATCCTATAATACAGATGTACCCGGTACCTAGATCATTAGTGATATGTTGTCAAAACAGTTACAGGGTACCTGAACAAACATCGCCCCCCATTAAAAATACTTATTTCTTTTCTAAATTTACAAAAGAAATAAAACATTTGGTGACTAGCAAACACTAGGCCATGTCACCTCCCTAGGCATTGTGGGTAACAATCACAGAACAGTGCACAAAATTCTCCATTACATTGAAGAGTGAACTTAGTGTAATGGGGGTGGTTACTGCAACACAGGTAAGTGGAGAGGAGAAACACTATGTAAGCTCTCTACATACCAATCTGGAGTTTACGACAGAGCCGAGGTCCGGTGCCTGGTACACAATCCCTCCAATGATGTAGTACATGGCCAGTGGGCTCACTAGAACAACACATGGGACATCAAGTAGCGTGGCACAGAATACAAATGCTGGCAAGTAGTAGGAAATACAAGGGTTAGCTGTGTTTGTAAATAACTGCATTAAGTTGAGAGGTTTAAATGGAGGTGGAGGAAGGTGGACCGAGGTTGAGAGGGTATAGAAAGGTGGACAGAGAGGTTGAGTGGGTATAGAAAGGTGGACAGAGGTTGAGTGGGTATAGAAAGGTGGACAGAGGTTGAGTGGGTATAGAAAGGTGGACAGAGAGGTTGAGTGGGTATATAAAGGTGGACAGAGGTTGAGTGGGTATAGAAAGGTGGACAGAGGTTGAGAGGGTATAGAAAGGTGGACAGAGGTTGAGTGGGTATAGAAAGGTGGACAGAGGTTGAGTGGGTATAGAAAGGTGGACAGAGGTTGAGTGGGTATAGAAAGGTGGACAGAGGTTGAGTGGGTATAGAAAGGTGGACAGAGGTTGAGTGGGTATAGAAAGGTGGACAGGGGTTGAGTGGGTATAGAAAGGTGGACAGAGGTTGAGTGGGTATAGAAAGGTGGACAGAGGTTGAGTGGGTATAGAAAGGTGGACAGAGGTTGAGTGGGTATAGAAAGGTGGACAGAGGTTGAGTGGGTATAGACAGGTGGACAGGGGTTGAGTGGGTATAGAAAGGTGGACAGGGGTTGAGTGGGTATAGATCGGTGGACAGAGAGGTTGAGAGGGTATAGAAAGGTGGACAGAGGTTGAGAGGGTATAGAAAGGTGGACAGGGGTTGAGTGGGTATAGAAAGGTGGACAGAGGTTGAGTGGGTATAGAAAGGTGGACAGAGAGGTTGAGTGGGTATAGAAAGGTGGACAGAGGTTGAGAGGGTATAGAAAGGTGGACAGGGGTTGAGTGGGTATAGAAAGGTGGACAGAGGTTGAGTGGGTATAGACAGGTGGACAGGGGTTGAGTGGGTATAGAAAGGTGGACAGAGGTTGAGTGGGTATAGAAAGGTGGAAAGAGAGGTTAAGGGAGTCAAGGAAGGTGGACAGAGAGGTTAAGGAAGGTGGACAGAGAAGTTAAGGGAGTCAAGGAAGGTGAACAGTGAGGTTAAGGAAGGTGGACAGTGAGGTTAAGGAAGGTGGGCAGAGAGGTTAAGGGAGTCAAGGACGGTGGACAGTAAGGTTAAGGGAGTCAAGGAAGGTGGACAATTAGGTTAAGGAAGAAGGGCAGAGAGGTTAAGGGAGTCAAGGAATGTGGACAGAGAGGTTAAGGGAGTCAAGGAAGGTGGATAGAGAGATTAAGGGAGTCAAGGAAGGTTGACAGAGAGGTTAAGGGAGGTGGAAAGAGAGGTAAAGGGAGTTAAGGAAGGTAGACAGTGAGGTTAAGGAAGGTGGGCAGAGAGGTTAAGGGAGTTAAGGAAGGTGGACAGAGAGGTTAAGGGAGTCAAGGAAGGTGGACAGTGGGGTTAGGGAAGGTGGAAAGAGAGGTAAAGGAGTTAAGGAAGGTTGACAGAGAGATTAAGGGGGTCAAGGAAGGTGGACAGTGAGGTTAATGAGGTTGACAGTGAGGCTAAGGGAGTCAAGGAAGGTGGACAGTGAGGTTAAGGAATGTGGGCAGAGAGGTTAAGGGAGTTAAGGAAGGTGGACAGAGAGGTTAATGAGGTTGGCAGTGAGGTTAAGGGAGTCAAGGAAGGTGGACAGTGAGGTAAAGGAATGTGGGCAGAGAGGTTAAGGGAGTTAAGGAAGGTGGACAGAGAGGTTAAGGGAGTTAAGGAAGGTGGACAGAGAGGTTAATGGAGTCAAGGAAGGTGGACGTTGAGGTTAAGGAAGGTGGACAGAGAGGTTAAGGGAGTCAAGGAAGGTGTACGGTGAGGTTAAGGAAGGTGGACAGTGAGGTTAAGGAAGGTTGAAAGAGAGGTTAAGGGAGTCAAGGAAGGTGGGCAGAGAGGTTCAGGAAGGTGGACAGAGAGGTTGAGGGCAGATCTGATGTTTTGGCAGTGAAATTTTGGTGGGGGTGTTAAGAAAATCATCAAGGCTAGGAAAGAGGTGAAGGGGTTAGAAAGGGATCCAAAGCATTTAAGAGTAGTACTGACCTTGAGTGGGTGACTGCCGGAACTGCTTCCTAATGACATACAGGATAGGTTCCTGTACATGCAGTAGGATGTACTCCAGTCCAGTCATATTACTGCAACAGAACATTAATACTGTTATCAATGACCGCAACACAGTCAGTTACAAGAATGTTACCTTCTGTTATTATGGCCTCTTTCTCTATCAATCACTGAAAGAATCCGCATAAAGGAAATCAAATTTGGGATTCTAACTTTTCTGCCAATTAAATTTGTATGCAGAATATTTTTTTTTTATGAACTGAGTAGGATAGAGCACCAGGTTGTCGGGGGGCAGAACACCATGTCCAAGTAAGAGAGAACACCATGTCTGAGTAGGAGAGAACACCATGACTGAGTACAACAAAACACCATGTCTGAGTAAGACAGAACACCATGTCTGAGTAGGACAGAACGCCATGTCCAAGTAGGACAGAACACCATGTCGTAGTAGGACAAAACACAATGTCCATGTAGGAGAGAACACCATGTCTGAGTAGGAGAGAACACCATGTCTGAGTAGGGCAGAACACCATGTCTGAGTAGGGCAGAACACCATGACTGAGTAGGAGAGAACACCATGTCTGAGTAGGAGAGAACACCATGACTGAGTACAACAAAACACCATGTCTGAGTAAGACAGAACACCATGTCTGAGTAGGACAGAACACCATGTCCAAGTAGGACAGAACACCATGTCGTAGTAAGACAAAACACAATGTCCATGTAGGAGAGAACACCATGTCTGAGTAGGAGAGAACACCATGTCTGAGTAGGGCAGAACACCATGTCTGAGTAGGGCAGAACACCATGACTGAGTAGGAGAGAACACCATGTCTGAGTAGGAGAGAACACCATGACTGAGTACAACAAAACACCATGTCTGAGTAAGACAGAACACCATGTCTGAGTAGGACAGAACACCATGTCCAAGTTGGACAGAACACCATGTCGTAGTAGGACAAAACACAATGTCCAAGTAGGAGAGAACACCATGTCTGAGTAGGGCAGAACACCATGTCCAAGTAGGGCAGAACACCATGTCTGAGTAGGAGAGAACACCATGTCTGAGTAGGAGAGAACACCATGTCTGAGTAGGAGAGAACACCATGACTGAGTAAGAGAGAACACCATGTCAGAGTAGGACAGAAAACACCATGTCTGAGTAGGACAAAACACAATGTCCAAGTAGGACAGAACACCATGTCTGAGTAGGACAAAACACTATGTCCAAGTAGGACAGAGCACCATGTCTGAGTAGAAGAGAACAGCATGTCTTAGTAGGACAAAACACCATGTCTGAGTAGGAGAGAACACCATGTCTTAGTAGGACAAAACACCATGTCTGAGTAGGAGAGAACACCATGTCTGAGTAGGAGAGAACACCATGTCCAAGAAGGAAAGAACACCATGTTGTCTGAGCGTATTGCATATCAGGCTACTACATGTCTGGCTATCAGCTTTAATTTATTAAAACAAGTATCCAGATATTGAGAGTGATTATCAAGCGTCAAGGTTGAAACTCTACCTGAGATGTTCGACACCAAGTCGCTGCATCTTGATGATCTCGTTGTTGCATGTGCGGTCGTAGAATGGATTGCTCCGTTCAGAGAAGTAGTCAAGGACATTAGACTGGTTGAGGAGTGGTATCCAGGCACTGTCGTACCATGACACATGGAGGTGGTTCTCTGAAATTACAAGAAGCATTGGAATTTCATGAAGATATCAGAGAGAAACAGTCAGCCAATGCACTCACTGTTTCTCCTTGTTAAGTTAGACTAATATTACTTCATTATTTTAATCAACCATTACCTGGTTGAAACAGAACCATTACCTGGTAAATGTATGTGTTTATTTATTTGTCACAATCAGCGGCAGTTTTTCATAAATGAGGCCCTGAAGAGTTTAGTTAGGCCCTGCAGCTTCTAAAATCTGTGGGTCCTGATGGCAATTTTTTATTTTGAACACAGTCTCGGGGAATGGAACCTGTGTCATCAGCAGGAAGAGACAATGCCTGGACCACTGGTACTCCTGTACTAGTATTGGAATTATCAATGATGAGTTGGGGACAGAAATAGGTAGGGCTGGCTATCCATAGATTAGAGATCACTAACTAAATATTGGACAATTATTGATAAATATCTGAGAAGTAACTTTAAGTTAATATGCAAGAAAGTCCCGAAAGAAATCAACATATGTCATGCCACAGGTGAGCAGTGACACATATGTGCATGGATTACTTTATGGACATTTGAGATAGATGTATAACAAAAAACAGTTCCTTTTTATCTTCGACAATTGACATTATTGACAATAACAGGTCTGTTTTGGTAAAACTAAACTTTATTTCATCACAATGGTTTATATAAGTTATTATTGATGAGAACAATTTCATATCGATAATCATTAATATTTCTTCCCATCTTTTTAGCCAGCCCTAGAACTTGGCATCCTTGTTAAACGTCTACACTTTTGGTGAGCACCTTTAGAATACAGTACCACAACTTCTCGTGAGGACGATCTCTGCCGTGGGTCACATGTCACAAGACAAGCAACCAGTTTCAGTGAGAATCCGTCGGACGCGAACCCGTGACCTTCGGATTGTTAGCCTGACAGCTAACGGACTGAGCTACGTCCACACCATGCCTATGACGTTACAGAACTGAACAAAAAGGGTCGAATAGGTGACGGACACTTACGAAGGTTACGGGTAGGCATGGTGTCTCGTGACTTTAGTCTACGGACACTTACGAATGATCCCGATGCCATTTGGCACACTCGTCCCATTCCGTAATCTACAAGATACCGGGGGGTGAGGAATGAGCCGATATGCCGCGAACTGAAAACGGCTCCAGGCGTCAGACACGAGTGCGCATGAATGATATGGTATTTAATAATTCGTCGGGTGATTTTTGTGACAGAAAAGTGTGGTAGGGAACACTGTAAGGATGATGTGGATAATAGTAAGGAACGATGGAGGAATAAGCATGACTAGTGACGACACAACGGTGAGTTCGCTGTTGAATCAATTATGAAAAATGTAGCCGGGGAAAGTGGCTTGTGTGAATGTTCCAGGACAGTTTCCAGTAGCCAAAATATTCGACACAAAACCATTTCATTCTTTTTACTCGAAATTTTTGTGGGAAGAATATAAGGAGCCGCTATATAATCTATAATAGCCACTAAACGAGTACCTAACCCTAATGATCGTAAAAGGGTGATTGATCGTAAAAGGGATCCAAGTGCTAAGGATAGAGTTTGGGGTAACCTACCCTAACACTGGCGACATTTGGATGTGTTCAGCACCAGTTAAATATCAATAACAAACTACAATCTTGTGCATAATAATGAAAATTAATGCACCGAAAAAATAATATATGTATATTAGTTCCCATTTATAACCCTTTTAGCCACTTGAATTACGAGAAAAACGAAATAAAAAATATATAAAAAATAAAAGTGCTTTCGTAAAATAGCGCTTGCTATAAAATGCGCCGCCGCAGGCTATATTCAGTAAACAAATATTCAAAACTCTCCACAGCGCTTGGCGTATTCAATGACATTTCGTGTAGAGATGATAGATCACTGGGAGGAACTTATGCACACTCGATGACCCCTGACTGGCAACAAAATACTACAAATTACGTCATAGGGTATGATCACGTGTTTGAAAAGTTTGTGGTACTGTATTCTAAAGGTAGGCCGCACCAGTGGCATTGCAGTCTGGGTTACATATATTTGAGTAATATCACTGTTTGGTGTTATCATCAGGTAAATAGTCATCAAACCAAACAAGTTAAAGGGATGATATTTGCCAAAGGACCTTCAAGTAAGTCATCAGGTTTACAGAATACGAAGGCAAACAGATAAAGTCCAAGGGGTTGTTAAAGAATATGTTTATTTCAGGGTACTACACTTCTTTACATATACCATGGACACTGGTTATGGCCGTCAGTAAGGTAGATGATGACAGATGTTTGAGGACATCAACATGATCAATGTAACATTTCACTTCCTACAGTACATTAACCAGTTGTCATTGATACTGTCATTTGCCTAAAATGTACATACTGAGGTTCTAGAATATACATAATATATGGTGTGTCCTCTGGCATCAATCTTTAATTGAGTAAAGTTCATTTTCACAAGAGACCATACACCAAGTTTCTCTGATCTTCATGCAATATGGGAAGTGAAAGCTATGAAGCCTACCATATCCCCTTCAGTACAAAGGGTGCATTCTGGCTTTAGTCATTGTCTATAAATAATGCTAATTAACATGGGTATTTCCTCCTCCAGGGGACCAAATCAGAATGGCACAATAGATATTATTTCAACTGTCCTAACTAAAATGTGTTACTTATCAAGTGAGTGAGTGAGTTGGGTTTAACGCCGCTTTTAACAGTATTCCAGTCATATCGCGGCATGTCAGCTTAATGTGGGAAGAAAGCCCGAAGTGATGCAGATCTCAGACGTTTACCACTTCGGTGAAACCCACGAGCACGGGTATTGTGCTGACAAACCTAGAAACATAATTTGGGCGAACCGGGATTCGAACCCACAATCATAGGTTTCTGGCATGCCAAAGGGACGCGACTCTGCACAGCGAATCGCGGCGCCTTAGACGACTGGGCCACCCATGCCCCCATCAAGTGAGTGAGTGAGTTAGTATGGTTTTACACCACTTTTAGCAATATTCCAGCATTATCACGGTGGGGGAATCCAGGAAATGGACTTCAAACATTGTATCCATGTGGGGAATCAAACCCGGGTCTTCGGCATGACCAGCCAAAGCTTTAACCATAGGCTTACCCCACTGCCCCCGAGTTATTAAGTTATTTTTAAACTGCTTATAAACACTTGATACATTTAGAACTATATTAATGTAATTGTTTATTTTTTCTGAAACATTTCATTGTGCACAAACGTGTCAGTATTGAAATTACATCAAAACCATATTAGCTACATAATGTAGGCCTACATGTACATTGGGATATAGGCTACATGCAGGTCTAAGGTGTGTTGGGAGAAGGTCATTTCACAACGATAGGGACTTATAAACAGTCAACATGAAGAAACTAAAGTGTTACAGCAAATTGAAAACATTCACTTATGGCAGTGACCATTATATGGTCTCTGCTTATGGTTACTATTGTTGTTGATTCTGTGTCACAGACCCGGACAGGTCACGGAATCCCCCAAACGTGTTTTTATATTTAGGCAGACCAGAAATACCGCGAACATGCGTCAACATAAGGATTCCACCCGCATGCTTACATGGTAGCAAGCAAACAAACAACGCATGGATATTAGGTGCGTTGTTTTCCTAAATTTAAACGTACCCGGACATGTGTATCTGTTGTGGGTCATTAGCCTAGAAAAGAACACGGGCGTTATTGCACTGGGGAACATTCCTCGTTCTAATATGTCACGTGATGGTGTCCCTTTTTCTGAAAAAAAGTACGCCTACCATTTGTTTTGTCCATTTTCCAAAGGGAATCACGCGCGGAGCTTGCAACGCCGAAAGAAAATGGCGGATGATGTCGCGAAGGGAATTCCCACTTCTAAATTTAGTAGGGACACATATGATACAAAAGCTGGACGCAGCTGAAAACGGATCAATCCGAACAAAACTTCGAAGAGATCAACTTCAACTAATTGTCTCATGTTAACTCAAAGACATGAATGCGAACAATATTTTAGCTTTTGCTATCTTCATACTGAATTCTGGTAAGTAACATTTTATTTTCACTTTATTCAATTTAGGACTGTTTTGAGAATATATGTTTTATGCTGGCTATTCGGAACACACAATTTGTTGTTGCGATATATTCTAATGACAATTTCATGTTTAGGTCCATCTCTTGTCAGTCAGTGTCTCTGATGCACAACCTGGTGGTTTTGTTGCTACATATCCTACATTAAAGAGAGATCATTTTAATCATTTACGAATTCGGGTAATTCAATAAAGGACGAATGTTAAAACGTTTAATCGACAACACTTGTATACTTTATATACTACTTCATAAAGATAAATGTGCAGTTTGTATTGCGTTGTACAATATTAAGGTACATGTGTACAGCTATTTAACACAGAAGCACTCCGCGTCCTTCAATATCCGTCGTTGCATCAATAATTATAGTGAATACTATTCCGTGCCTAGAATTAATACTCATGGTAACTATTCATGGAATATTCAATGCCGAGCTAAAGACTGAGTTTCCTTAACATATATAGTGCCTCGATCGGAAATAGTGTGTGTCTCTCTTAGTCGGAATGTGCTGGTACATGGGAACCGCAATTAGCGGAAGCGCACGTATAATATGACAATTATCGCACCAAACGTCAGAGCATTGGTTCACTGACGTAGTCAGCAATGTCTGTGGTACCTGTTTTTATTACATGTCCAAAACAAACCCATGCCGATGCCCATTTTTTATACACACTAAGTCACTCTACAAGTTTCTATGGCAATAGCTCTACCGGGACCGTTACTCGGACATCTAGATCACGATATCTGTCACCAATACAGCTTCAGCGTAGCTCTCGCCAGTTTCTTAGTATCAAAAACTAGTTAGTCATTATTTCGCCTGACCTACGAATCTTCAACTAGAGTGGATAGCCCCCTTCGTGTCTTTTAAACAACGACGTTTATGCTTAAACCTGTGAAACTACATAGCGTTATACACAGAGTGCATGTTGATGGTGTTGGTGTTCAAACCCCTTTACCTCCATCATCCGCCTTGAAGATTATATTGAAATACGAATGCTGAGTCGTAGAAGTCTCAGTAAGTTGTTGTAGTTGTTGTTTAACAACCCATAAGTCGATGATGCAGATGTTGGAAAATCACGTATTGGCCAATACCGCCATGGTGATGTGTTTCTATTAATAACTTATATTGATGTGATAATACATTAATGTTACAGTTATAAGTGCACGTCATCTTTGAAATAGATTTCATTAACAGATATGGTACTTTGTTTTCAATCCACCCTGCTGTTGATGCAGTGGACTGTGGTCGAACGGACCCTAGCAAAATACTTGTGGTATTTTAAGGCGGTGTTTTCTCTGATTTTGATTACTTGTACATTTTGTACTGTTGTTATTATGTAGTGCGTCAGTAGTCAGTTATTTTAAAAAATGATCACTAAATATTGATGACGGAGTACAACCACATAAAAATATAGCCCATCTTTTTAGCTCGTTGCTGCACATGTATTGTAATTGCTTTTTTACTTACAAGTTTTGAACACAAAAGCAATTGCTTTTGCGATAATTATACAGTAACGTACGGTTATAACGAACTTAAAGGGGCAACTAAGGTTAGTTCGTTATAACCGTAGTTCGTTATAAGCATATATACAACAAATATACAGCAAATGGACGGGATCAAAACACATTTCGTTATATCCGTCAGTTACTTATAAGCGTATTCGTCATAAACGTTTTTTACTGTACATTATCTTTAAAAGTCCATTGGCGCGAATATTAATAATATAAATGGAAACATAACATTTGAAATTCTATAAGCCCTTGGAAATCTTTCAAATTAGTCAGACATCTCTTTGTAACGGACTGTATCATGGCGGGTATCACAATTTTAATAGTCGACACTTTATATTAGTTTAATTGTGTTTCTTTTTAATGTTATTGGTAGAGTTAACGTGAGGCTATATAGCATCCAATGTAAATGAGGAACTGCTATAAATTGACTAAAATTTGAAACATGCAAAGTTATGCGGCAAGCAACAACCCCGATGTATTAATTTTGCATTCCTGATGTCAAGGAAGTAGAATGACAGTACAAGGGAGATAACTCTCTGCAAACTACTCACCTCTCCGATTCGACCACCAACACAACCACTACGATTACGATACCAGGTTAAACTTGTTCTATTTGGTGATCGCGGGGTATTATATTATATCTCTGGTTTACCTGATCCAGGCCCAAACACCACGTGCAGGTCATCCCGTCTGATACTGATAACACAACGCCATGCCTCCAATCGTTACACATTTTACCAATAAGCCATACAACTATACTAGAAAAAAACCCGTTCACGTGTGTAATACCGTCGCCTCGTTACACAAGAGTGAGTGAATGAGTTTTACGCCGCATTGAAAAGTATTCTCGTTAAATCACAGCGAATATGCTTAATGTGGGAGGAAAGTCCCTCACTATAAATAATGCAGACATGTGCGACTTTGGTGAAAGCCACGAGCACGGGGACAAGCCAAGAAACAGAACTGGGGCGAACTGGGACTATCACAGGTTCATGGCGTGCCCTATGGATGCAAGCCAGCAGTCACTATATGGCTGAAATATTGCCGATGTGACGGTGAATATTAACTCACTCACTGCAAGCCTGCAGTGCGAATTGCGGCGTTTAAGACGACTAGGCCACCCGTGCCTCCTAAATGAAAAGGAATGTTAATGGCTTTATTCTTGCATGAGAACGTGTTGCTTTCAGCGTCCCCATCGTTATGATTTAGTCATGATAACAGTATTTATATATTAGTTATTATTATCATCATCACCATTAACAGTAAAAACCATGATGGTAATAATTTCAATATTAGTAATAACAACAAGAACAACAATAAAAGACGACAAAGTCCATGATAATAATTCGCATCATTTTCAACAGAGCTGGCTTTCGGGGTAGATGAGTGTTTGATAAATGGAAAATGGAAGCCCTACAAGAGCAGCCAACAAACATGCTGTGGCGGAGTGCTGGAGCGTTATACACAGGGGAAGAAATGCTGCAAAGGTAATGAAGCTAACACTTTCTCTGGAATCATAGGTATGGTGTATAAAAACTGGTCTTGTTATTCATATATGTTTCAAGCGAGTGAGCGATTATTGCTTAACGCCGCATCAGCTATTCGCGGCGTGAATTGTCTATATTCTTACCATATGTAAACAGAAACAGAAGGGATGGTGAAGATATCTTAAATCTCTGCTAAATATCACTTCGAGGGTTACATAGCGAGTTAATTGTTGGCGTTATGCCAACATTATTGTTGATGCAAGACAAACATCTTTGACGTCTTATGGATGACGTCACAATAGTAACTTTGGTTATTTCCGTCAAGCCTGGAAAAAAGACTGGTTATGCCAGCGCCCTCTGTTAGCAGATTGCTTTGTTATCAGTACAGAAACACTGTATTTTCACTACAGCTTATAAAGTGTGGGGCACAAATGTATTCTATGCGCTTGTGTCTTGATTTCACGAAAGCAGTGTCAGAATTCATGTATTTGCCCTCACTCTCGCTCGGGAAACAACAATTGTGACAGTTCTTACGCATTAAGCTCTATGTATTCGACAACCAAACATTGCTGCAAAGGATAAGAGAAACGCGCATGATCCTGTGTAAATAACAGACCAACAGCGACAGCATCGACATGGTGTTTAGCAGTTAAATGTTTAAAGACATTGTTGACATTTAAATTGAAATCATTAATTCATAACAAATATTACGAGTGAGTATGGATTGACGCCGCTTTTAGCAATATTCCCGCAATATCACGGCGGGGGACACCAGTAATGGGCTTCACACATTGTAGCCTACCCATGTCGGGAATCGAGCCCTGGTCTTCGGCGTGACGAGCGAACCCTTAAACTACTTGGCTACCCAACCGCCCCACAATTACGAAAGCGAACATCTTGAAAGTATCGTACCCAGCTGGAAGCTAACGCGATCTATCTACTGGAATGACCGTATTCGGTCCGGGGACCTTTAAAATGGTATTATAAAGATGCAGTTAAATATATTTGAGATTTTAAATATAAATCTTCATAATGTTTACACTGTATTTAGTAAAATAGACCCATATAGTTTTGTTGCCTATAAATAAACACATGTTTAATATATTGACATAACAGTAGGTGATGACGTCACAGTATCTAATAGTTGAGGTGAAATGTTGTTACGTCGCGTTCAAGATTATTGCACTTATATAGCGACTCGCATGCACTTTAACATGAATACCAAACTCAGACACATCATACTGATATACAGTCCTTGTGTTAGACCCCTAATGCCTAGCGCCAGGCAGGGTAACAACCAGTACCATCTTGTTATGGCTTTTGGTATGACGCAACCGGGGATCGAACCTCCGACCTTCCGCTTTCCAGCTCGACCATTATACCACGGAGGCGGTCACCGTATATCAACTGTCACTAACGTCACATGCACACTGTTAGCTCCTCGAAATTTAATCAGTTATGAGTTAATTGTTGGTGATAGTGGCGTTATTACCCTTACGTCAACAAACTGCTTTTACGAAACTTGTATTACGATGCATATGCAGTAAAACCTCGTTGAGTCTAACTTGGATGTGTCGAATTCCCGGTTGTCTCGAATTCATTTGGGAGTCTCAAGTATTCGAATTAAGCATAATGTTTTCCTGATGTTTCGAACCCCGGGTAACTCGAACATTTGTTCGAGACAACGGGGTTCGATTGTATTTCCTTCGCCGTCGCTCGGAAAATACAAAACGTCTGACGTTTTTTTGTGTGTGTAAAGTCACACTTATACATACAGAGTGTGTATATCGTACTGATTTAGGTAACGGGTGTTGGTGTATTCAAGTGAAGAAGTAGTGTTCTAAATTGGGCCGCGAGGGAACTCAGGGTCAGGGTGCCGTTGTACAAAACCTTAGCGCTGCCACTGTCGTAAGTCTATGTTAAGGTATGGGAGTGACGATCACCTTAGCGTTACGACTGTCGTAAGTCTATGTTAAGGTATGGGAGTGACGATCGCCTTAGCGTTACGACTGTCGTAAGTCTATTTTAAGGTATGGGAGTGACGATCACCTTAGCGTTACGACTGTCGTAAGTCTATGTTAAGGTGTGGGAGTTACGACCACCTTAGTGCTACGACTGTCGTAAGTCATGTTAAGGTATGGGAGTTACGATCACCTTAGCGCTACGACTGTCGTAAGTCATGTTAAGGTATGGGAGTTACGATCACCTTAGCGTTACGACTGTCGTAAGTCTATGTTAAGGTATGGGAGTTACGATCACCTTAGCGTTACGACTGTCGTAAGCATATGTTAAGGTATTGGGAGTGACCCTCACCTTAGCGTTACGACTGTCGTAAGTCTATGTTAAGGTATGGGAGTTACGATCACCTTAGCGCTGCCACTGTCCTAAGTCTATGTTAAGGTATGGGTGTTACGATCACCTTAGCGCAAAGATCGCTTTGTACAACGGCACCCTGAACTGTTCCCCAGTACACGATACATCTCGTCGGGTTGTGTTAGATTGACTCGGGTGTTCAGACTGTGACTTGACTGGTTGCATTGTATCGTGTATCAATGGCGTGAATTGTCCCTCTCTGGCTTGCCTGCCCCAAACTCGATTTTGTATTCTCTTCTTAAACCTCGTCACGCCAGATATAAACAACAAACATACAATGTGGCTTCCTCTGTGTCACTTGCCGAGGCATTTACTGCACTAGCCTTGGGTAGTCGAAAACCCCTGAAACTAGCGAGCACTAGCAGATGCTCCAGTCATAAAATCCCTACGCGGTTCATCCTCCGGGTGGCTGAAGTTTAGGGGGAGGTCGTCTGGCTGAATCATGCAGATGCCAACACAACCTTGGCTCACGTGCATGGACACGATTTAATATTGTTGATTATTATATGCTGTCAAAACTGTGTAACCATCAACTCGTCATTCGTGTGCAAGGGATTTTCTACAATCCCCAAGTCCATTCCTATGCCTGAGGGTTAAGGGCAGGGCGGCAGCACGTATACCCCACTCGTGCTTGTCGTGACAGCCGGTGGAACCGGAGTTTTGGGCATTGTAACCAGACGGGGTTGATCTTTTCTCATGCTCTCAGCCATTGGTTTGCCTGACCCCAGCCTCGATTATCCAGTGTATTATAGCAATGTCTATTCTCATGCGTTATCATAATATAATGGAAATATAATAGGCTGGATAGTCGAGTATGGCTTAGTTAAGGGCCCATGTGATATAGACAGACTGTTGCGGACTATTATTACGGCATGAATGCGCAAATATCGGTTTTATAGCCTTATACCCAGCAACAACTCAAATAGCTTAAAAGGGATGTTGGAGAAACGAGACATATTTTTCATATGCCACGACTTATTTACAGTACAGTTCATAACCTGGTACACCGCCGTCCTGCTCCAGTTGGACCGGGTAAGAATAGGTCCTCACAAGACGTGATTGGATTGGGTGGTCAAGCTTGGTGACTTATACGTCACCCTATCCCATGCGTGCATCGATGCTCACGATGTCAGTCACTGATTGTCTGGTGCCGCCGCCGTCATATAGTTGGAATATTGCCGAGTGCGGCCTTTAATAACAAAACCCAACCAATAATCCAGTTGGACTCTGCGATTAATACTAAGATATTCCTACGCTGACTGTCGCCATGGAAACAATGCGCATGTATTTGAAAGGACCGCATCTGTCTGACGTAGTGTAACGTCGGACCCCGTCACCGCTGTCGATGCGCACGTGGTTATTGTTGTTACGGCGGTAGCGATATGGACTATGATTATAATGTCACAATAACTCCCTTAGGCAACAAGACTTCCTACAGTCGTTACGCTAAGATTGCCTTGTAGAATTTGTAGAATCCCTGTGTTGATTACATGCGTTGAATGCAGCTGACGTCAAATAGCGTGGGCATACTATCTCACAAACATATCGTCCTAACCTGTACAGGTTTACACAATTCATCTTATCTCTTAAGTACGTTTGGCGTGTTTTTCCTATCTGTATTTCCCTGTAGTTTCGTACGTGGGAGTGCTTCACTGTTATTTGAATATCTTAACTGCTATTATATTGTCGAAATCATTCGAACCACAACCGCCCAAGTACACATACCCCTTGACCTGCTGACCTGCCACACAAACACACCCCTGTGCTGTCTGCATGTACGCGGATGTATTTACACAGATATGATTCTCACGTGACCTAGCTTTCGCGACGTCATTCAGTATCATGATTTTGCGCAAGTATTTTTTAACAACTTGGGAATCCCCACACCGATTGTGCGTATAGATGTACTCAAGGTGAAATAGTGTATGGATACTAAGATTGTATTTCCCTCTATTTAATGACTTCAAATCAAAGAAGCAAGCAGTTAAGACAATGTGGTCACGATGGGGTTGTATGGTGGTGCTGATGGTGGCGGTTTGTGTTGTAGAGACAGGTAGAGTCTACTACGAAAACCATGGGCTGTGTTGTGAAGACAAGATGTACGAAAGGTACGATGAGAATGGGGTGGAGTATGGATGCTGCGGTAACACGAAAATCCCCATGGAGAGGACAGTCTGCTGCGGGGGTGTCAGCCATCCTAGACACCCAGGTGAGTTATAGAGACTTCTTTAACGTGAAATTGTATTAAAACATAATTTAAACTCTCACCAACATCAGAGAATAGTCAAATCCCCAAAATGACGACAAGTATCACAAAAATCCAGATTTCTTTTCAAATATATATCCCAAAGAAACTTAAAGGTTCCCAGAACGACTGACATACTATTGTCTTCACTAGATTTATGAAATATTCCAAAAATAGGCACGGCCCAACAATTTTGCTTCGTTCAAATTGTTCCATTGTATGTGAAGAAGTCCATAGGAACTTGACGTCATATGACTGCAAATAATGCAAGACGACGTCATCCACCGAATATGGCGTCACAGGCGATTTAAGTGACTGAGGAAAAGAGTGAGTGAGTGAGTTGGGTTAAACGCCGCCTTTAACAGTATTCCAGTTATATCGCAGCGTGTCAGCTTTATGCGGGAGGAATGCCCGAAGTGATGCAGGTCTGAGACGTTTACCACTTCTGTGAAACCCACGAGCACGGGTATGGTGCTGACAAACCTAGAAAAATAATCGGGGCGAACCGGGATTCGAACCCCCAATCATTGGTTTCTTGCGTGCGCAAGGGACGAAACTCTGCACGTTGGCTGTTAAAAAACCTTCATGTTATAAGAGACAAAATCGGCTATTACTAGTTTTGGTGGATAAATGTTTCTACTGGACTTGCCTCGGGAACTATTGCCCTATTGTTATTATCCAAACAGCATTTTGAAAGAAAATCGTATTTGAGTTCCAACGCTGTTCCAGATATGGGTTGTTGCGGCAAGCAGTACATCAACCTAACGTCGCAGATGTGTTGTCAAAATGAAGATAACCCTGCACTGGTCAGCAAACACGTTCGCGGCCCGAACTACACGTGCTGTGGTCACCTTGTTGTCGACCTGTCCAATCAGAACTGCCGCTGGAACATCTCCGGCAACACACGCAATCCGATAGCAGTCAACAGACTGGACGAGATCTGTGATGGCAAGATCATCTCACGCCGTGAGAAGTCCTGCTGTGATGGTGAGTGAGGAAATGTAACATCGCACTATCACAGTAGACCAACGCCTAGTCTCTGAAAATACTTAATGTTGATAGAAACAAATAACTCCATTTAAACTGAAAAGGAACTCTGATGAGATGTAAGAAAAATCTAGACTTGCTTCATCTAGGGTTTTTGCATTACAGAAAGGGCTGGGTGGAAGGGAAAATAATATGGTTCAGGGTCTGTGAGGCATATAACTGAGAATAGAGAGACGTTCCACACCCATAGTAGTATCTTCTGACAATTTACACATTCATGTGAAAGGTTGCATCCCTTAGTCGTGAAGATGATCTTGGGTTCAAATCACAGATTAGCACTGATTATGATTCCTTATTTGTCATACCGGTTCATGGGTTTCATTCAGGTAACAGTCGTTAAAGTAACTGAAGTAATGTTCAACTTACTCACTCACTCACACATATACGTTAGATGTACTTCTATGGCTGCAGACTGCTAACCCAGAAATGTAATGGACTTTATATCTAGTTCAGATATTATATGAGAGTTACCGTGACTGTATATGTCCAAAAGTATAATCAGAAGCACTTCTAGCCTTGCAGTTAGTTTTCAGACAAGCTGCTTGCGTCTATGTATCATAGTCTGGCTAAGTTGTGTAGACAAGACCTATGATCTCCCTCAATAAGAGTAGATATATTTCATTATATTTAGGATTCCTTCGAGATTTTGCCAACACAGCTGGATACAAAACCAAATTTCTCCCACAATCTGAATATAAAATGTTCTTAAAGGCACAGAACAAGATTTGCAAATGAATAAGTTTTTTCTGCTTATGAACAGGTTACATAAACACAGGCACTTAATTACCTGAATCTTGATTTCAGACAAAATCTATGATCAACCGTACCTGGACCCTGAAGACATGTCCCAAAGAAACCCTACGGTGGAATGTTGTGGCACAGTTGGGTACAATAACCAGAGACAAGTCTGCTGTTCCCAGTATCCTGGGGCCGAGGTTGTCATTCCTGCTGATGACCACTTGCAGTGCTGTGTGGGTAGTGAGACAGGTAGGTTGATTGATCAACTGTACTTCCCACCAGGATAGACTTTCCTGTTTCTACTTACATCAGCCTGGACTGTGTGAGCTGTCTAATACTGGTTGGGTTGTTTTCAGGGTATTATAACACCACGGCAGAGCTATGCTGTGCTGGCAGCACCTGGACCAGATCTAGCAGCCATGACACATGCTGTGGGACACACAGGATAGATGGGCACAGCCAGGGATGCTGTGCTGGACACCCCTACAAGAAGGACACTCACTTCTGCTGTGATGGTATGTGGCCTTATACACTGTCATCGTTACTGTATGGTTTCTGAGAGATTAAAGATGTGTTTCCTGACATGCTGTCATGCTGTTCACAATATCAAAGCATCAGGTGTAATCAAACTGGTGTCTCTGTCATGTGAAGAGAGTGCAAACTAACCTGGAGGGTCCGATCTGTATGTATACTAGTCACATAAAGAAACTGTGCACGGAGAAAATATAGATATAAGGGCACACCGTCCATATATGAAATATAGGTTTGAACACAGCAATTATTGGAGACATTCAAAAGCTCATGCACGTGCCATGCGATATGACGTCATTGATGGGGGCCTATGGACGTGCAATGTGTTACTGCACGTGCATCCTGTGCAGCTGTACACAGCATGTGCAACTCAAAATTCGCTGTCACTTTGGAAAGCATGATCTCTGGTCATTCAAAAATTCAAAACTTCTCAGGCGCAGACACAAGCATATCACAAGCAAATCATGCCAAGATTGACAGCTGCACAACGTCATGAAGCCATTGGAATGATCCGAGCGGGAATGAGGCAACAACAGGTGGCAACACATTTCCAATGCCACCATAACACGATATCAGCATTGGTGAGGCGTTATCAGAACACAAATGACGTTGCCGACCACCCACGTTCAGGACGTCCCCGAGTAACGACGCCAAGACAGGACAGATGGATTCGAGTGACACATCTCCGACACAGGTTCCAAACGGCAGTAACGACGTCCCAGACAATTCCTGGACTGCGCCGTATCCATCTCAACACTGTCAGGAATCGCCTACGTCAGTACGGGATTCGACCACGACGCCCTGCCATACCTCCCATCCTGACACACCGTCATCGAGTCAACCATCTAAGATGGTGTCGAAATCATGTTCGCCAACCTCGAATATGGTGGAGAAATGTTGTCTTTACAGATGAATCGAGGTTCAACATTTCCCACAGTGACTGGCGCCAACGTGTCTACCGGCGTTTGGGAGAACGTTATGCACACAACTGTATTGTGGAGAGGAATCGTTTTGGAGGTGGCTCTGTGATGATTTGGGGTGGGATAACAGCACGGCACCGAACCCCTTCGGTGGTTGTTCAGGGCAATCTCACCGGTGTTGGCTACAGAGATCAGAATCTGAGGCCTGTGGTCATTCCTTTCCTGCAACGTAATGGCCCGGGATTGACATTTCAACAGGACAACGCTTGTCCTCACACGGCTAGGGTCGCAATGGATTTCCTTCACCATAACAATGTCATGTTACTGCCATGGCCTGCAATTTCTCCAGATCTCTCCCCAATAGAGCATGTGTGGGATGAAATGGAGCGCCGTCTGCGTCGTCTTCCACATCCTCCAGATAACGTCCGTGACTTGGCACAGGATTTGAGGAGGATATGGCAGGCCATTCCCCAGGCCTTCCATGCCCATTTGGTGGACTCCATGCATCACCGATGCACTGCTGTGATTCAAGCACAGGGTGGTCATACCCGTTATTGACTTTGTGACTTTGTCGTTTGACCCCCTACTCCATTTTGATCTTCTGACGTCATCGTAACAGATGTTGTTCAGGTCCCGTTGACATTTTCTTATGGTCCGATCATTCAGCTGCTACAGCGTCTGCATCATTTTGTTCTTGCTGTGTTGTATTTCATTCCAGAATATATTTTCTCCGTGCACAGTTTCTTTATGTGGCTAGTATACTTTGGAATCATTGTCTACAATGGTACCAGGTGTTTCTGCAACTTACAGCACCCGGCATGTGCGAATGTCTAGGTCAACTAGGTTCTTCAATTGTGCTGACAACTGTGATTTCAAGTAATTTTGAGAGCTGTATCCAGAGTTCAAAATAATTATCTGTTTAGGTGAAATATACAATTATTTGTATCTTAAAAAAAATAAAACTTTTTTCACTAATAATGCCATGCAGTTGTTGGCAGTTGTGATGCGGTTGAGATGTTTGATTACCTGTTCATTGTAGGTTCCCCATCGAGGGTACTGAAGGCACTGAAGGAAGGCAGTACATGTTGTGGGGGAGCGAGGCTGGCGCCAAGCAAGATGTGCTGCCAAAACACACAGGTGGAGACCAAGGAAGGTCATGACGCTTGCTGTCTAAGCTATTACTCAAGACAGTTTGCCACATACAACAGCTCGGAAAAGGTTTGTATCGTTTGGTGGAATTATGTTTATTATTTGATCAGACCAAGAAAAATTGTCTGGGCTAAACCTAGTTATTGTGAAGATATGATTCAAAGAAACTTAGTTATTGTGAAGATATGAGCCAAAGAAACCTAGTTATTGGGAGATATGATCCAAAGAAACCTAGTTATTGTGAGATATGATCCAAAGAAACCTAGTTATTGTGAGATATGAGCCAAAGAAACCTAGTTATTGTGAGATATGATCCAAAGAAACCTAGTTATTGGGAGATATGAGCCAAAGAAACCTAGTTATTGTGAGATATGAGCCAAAGAAACCTAGTTATTGTGAGATATGAGCCAAAGAAACCTAGTTATTGTGAGATATGAGCCAAAGAAACCTAGTTATTGTGAGATATGAGCCAAAGAAACCTAGTTATTGTGAGATATGAGCCAAAGAAACCTAGTTATTGTGAGATATGATCCAAAGAAACCTAGTTATTGTGAGATATGAGCCAAAGAAACCTAGTTATTGTGAGATATGATCCAAAGAAACCTAGTTATTGTGAGATATGATCCAAAGAAACCTAGTTATTGTGAGATATGAGCCAAAGAAACCTAGTTATTGTGAGATATGAGCCAAAGAAACCTAGTTATTGTGAGATATGAGCCAAAGAAACCTAGTTATTGTGAGATATGATCCAAAGAAACCTAGTTATTGTGAGATATGATCCAAAGAAACCTAGTTATTGTGAGATATGAGCCAAAGAAACCTAGTTATTGTGAGATATGAGCCAAAGAAACCTAGTTATTGTGAGATATGAGCCAAAGAAACCTAGTTATTGTGAGATATGATCCAAAGAAACCTAGTTATTGTGAGCTATGAGCCAAAGAAACCTAGTTATTGTGAGATATGAGCCAAAGAAACCTAGTTATTGTGAGATATGATCCAAAGAAACCTAGTTATTGTGAGATATGAGCCAAAGAAACCTAGTTATTGTGAGATATGAGCCAAAGAAACCTAGTTATTGTGAGATATGATCCAAAGAAACCTAGTTATTGTGAGATATGATCCAAAGAAACCTAGTTATTGTGAGATATGATCCAAAGAAACCTAGTTATTGTGAGATATGAGCCAAAGAAACCTAGTTATTGTGAGATATGAGCCAAAGAAACCTAGTTATTGTGAGATATGAGCCAAAGAAACCTAGTTATTGTGAGATATGAGCCAAAGAAACCTAGTTATTGTGAGATATGAGCCAAAGAAACCTAGTTATTGTGAGATATGATCCAAAGAAACCTAGTTATTGTGAGATATGATCCAAAGAAACCTAGTTATTGTGAGATATGATCCAAAGAAACCTAGTTATTGTGAGATATGAGCCAAAGAAACCTAGTTATTGTGAGATATGAGCCAAAGAAACCTAGTTATTGTGAGATATGATCCAAAGAAACCTAGTTATTGTGAGATATGATCCAAAGAAACCTAGTTATTGTGAGATATGAGCCAAAGAAACCTAGTTATTGTGAGATATGAGCCAAAGAAACCTAGTTATTGTGAGATATGATCCAAAGAAACCTAGTTATTGTGAGATATGAGCCAAAGAAACCTAGTTATTGTGAGATATGAGCCAAAGAAACCTAGTTATTGTGAGATATGAGCCAAAGAAACCTAGTTATTGTGAGATATGATCCAAAGAAACCTAGTTATTGTGAGATATGATCCAAAGAAACCTAGTTATTGTGAGATATGATCCAAAGAAACCTAGTTATTGTGAGATATGAGCCAAAGAAACCTAGTTATTGTGAGATATGAGCCAAAGAAACCTAGTTATTGTGAGATATGAGCCAAAGAAACCTAGTTATTGTGAGATATGAGCCAAAGAAACCTAGTTATTGTGAGATATGAGCCAAAGAAACCTAGTTATTGTGAGATATGAGCCAAAGAAACCTAGTTATTGTGAGATACACTCCAGGTTGAAGTACCAGTACGTTGCAACATGATTGTTTATGTAGGAGTGCGTTGAAGGGGAAGTCCAGACAATCATGAAACTTGATGACCGGTACTGTGGCCATGTCCCATACAGTGACAATAAAGCTGTGTGCTGCAACGGTCAAGTCCACTACTTTCCTCCCGGAGACACTCTCGGCTGCTGCCGGCGCTGGGATCTGAAGCAGACAGTCTACAGTGAGACCACCCAGATGTGCTGCCAGGGTCACGTCCACAATGAGTCAGCCAATGATGCAGAGTGAGTAGATTATACTAAACAGCAGGGATGGTAATCATGGCCCAGTTAAAAGTGAAAGGTTGAGGTGAGGTGAAGTGAGATTTACCTGGGATTTAACATTGCATCCAAGATTATTGCACTTATATAGCGATGTGCATGCATGTGTGTGTGTATACTAGACCGGACTGATGCCTATTTTATAGTGCTAGCCTACTGAGATACCATGCTGCAGTTTAACATGAATACCCCATTCAGACACAGTATACTGATTCCGAGCCAACAAGTCCTTGTTTCAGCCCCTAAATGCCTAGCGCCAGACAGGGTAATAAGTACCATCTTTTAACGTCTTTTGATATGCCGTGGAATGAACGGACCTTTCGCACTTTTGGCGGCCTCTGTACCACTAGACTGCGGAGGTGGCCGTGAAAGGGTGAACAGATGCTGCAGCTGATGGTGTGTGTTTGGAGACATGACCAGGAACACCATACATTCATTATTGTCTTACACCAGTGTGGTTGTACAACCTTCCTTGAAAATATACCTTATGTCAGTGTAGTATGGTTAGAGTTACCTGCCCTTGTCATGTTCAAAATTTCAAAAAAGAGACACAAGGAACAAGAGACTTATTTTCGGAAGCTTAAAGTATTTAAGGAAAGATAACTTTCAAGCACAGCCCCTACCTGACTGAGTGAATGAGTTGGAAATAAGTTTAACCCAGCCCCACCATATGAAAGCCAAGTGTGTATAGTGATTTGATACTCATCATCCCACATCACCTGCTAAACAGCACTGTCAGGCTCTGATACATAATTAGGATGCTTCATCTTCTGCAGATGCTGTGGGGCTAGGTCTTACCCTAAACATTCACACCAAAACCCCTGTCATGAGAAGTGTGGAGGCTCCTACTACAATGCTGATGTCACTGTGTGTTGTGGCAATAAGCAGTTCTTGATGGAAGAGCATGGAGACGATTGCTGTGGAAACTCCCCCTACTTCAGCATGGTCAGCTATTGCTGTGGTAAGGAGCTTTACAACCCCAAGAAGAAATCCTGCTGTGGGGGATATGCAGTTGTTTCCCGACGAGGCCGCAGAAGACAGCGATGTTGTAAAAACACAATGGTGTATTTTCGCAAAGATGGACGATGCAAATCCAATGGAATCGTTGAGTGGAAAAAGGATATACATCCAATGGAAAATTTATGTAGATGGAAGACATGGAAAAATCTGAATGGGATTGAGGTGAAAGAGTGCTTCCAAACATTTGGTAAGGGAATTTGCTAATACCAATAATACTAGAACTGCCTGAAATATATACCTGCTCAATACTTAGCATTTGATACCCTCAGAGGTATATGGTTGTCCAGTGTGCGTTATGGGTGGTCCAGGGGTGGTCCATTGACCAGAACAGGTCAAATTAGATATTTCATAATGCCCACCAGTAAGATTCCATATTTGAGTGACTGTAGGCTACTTTACGTCAGTTGACAACAGGCATGTAGCACAGATGCTGCATCTTCCCGAGGCAAGTGAGTTAACTGACTATAAAAGTCCAGTTTCAACCCTTGCTGAACTAGGCTGGTATTATGGAGTTACAATTTGGCTGGACTAACGAGTCGATGCATAGTCCAATCAAAATCGCTGAATGAAATCGAAATCCGGTTCGTAAACTGTCATGCATATTTCAGTCGATTGCAGGATTTGCAGAGCATGTGCACCACTGACTCGTCAACAGATAGTTTCTAAATCATTTCATGTTTTTAATCAAGGTGCTAACATGATTTGATGCACTTTGTAAGACTTGTTTTATCACAATAGAGATCTTGATTGTCGATCAGATCATCTTGGCTGGGTGCCGCCATTTTGTTTGAAGCAAAGGTAAGTGATACGAGAGGTGGAATCTGATTGGTCCATAGGAGAGGCATGGAAGGGACATAACTCTTAATAGCCACTGGTGGCACTTCGATCAAGCCCAGGAATTCCAGCCTAGTTCACCAAGTGTGGAAACTGGACTTTAAAGACAGTTAACTCTCTTGCCTAGGGAAGATGAGATGCAGAGGATGAAGGTATAGACAGTAGAACCCCTCTGAACCACATGGGGAACCAGTGGCCAGCAAACACTGCCATACTGCGATAATGCCCTACGGCCAAATAGAACTCATGTGAAGAACAATATACCTGTAGAACTGATTCCCATGAAATTAATCTCTTTCAGCAATCCGGTGCACCATCAAGCACTTCCTGAAAGAAAAAGAGGAACTAAGCATTATGATGAAATGCCGGAACCTGAAGCGCCGATACCTCAGGGAGAAATACCACGATTCATTCCTGACTCCTGGCAAGAACCAACTGACTGTCCGCATGATGCTATCCACCAAGAAGAAGGTCCGGTGCAACAGACAGCGACTGAAAAACAGGAGGGTGATCATCTTTCTGGATAAGGAACCTATCAAGAAGAGAAGTCATTTTGACCTGAGAATCTCTGAGAAAGATTCATTCCGTGTTGTTGCAGACACAAAACATATACGTGATCACTTGGATGGAACTAGCTCACAGAAATACTGCAAAGAATTATCTAAAATTTTGAGCAATGAGCATGATGAGGATCTGTATCAATAGATGGTGTATGCTGACCCCCATTTCACCAAAGTGGCGGATGTAGGATTGTAAAACATGAGGGGTGGGGGTGGTCATGGGTGGCACAAGTCACAAAGTGAACTGGAGCACCTGATAGAAGACATACTCAATTGACACATCAGGTATCTGGGGGGTCACCCAGTGGATGGTTACTAGGACCAAACAAGAATATCCACCATTCCTTGTAGCATTCATTTACTTCCCAGCTAAAGCATTTGGCATGCTCCTGTGATGGCCGGTCACTTGGCCGGACTAGTTGATACAGCCCTGCATAGCCGAAGTACAGTGTAGACATGTGGGGGTAGGATGTAAGTGGGCATCTGTATAGACTAAATGTATCATTGTAAATGTGTGTGTGTGTGTGTGTGTGTGTGTGTGTGTGTGTGCGTGTGTGTGTGTGTGCGTGTCTGTGTGTGTGTGTGTGTGTGTCTGTGTCTGTGTGTCTGTGTGTGTGTGTGTGTCATTACATCTATGTATGAATGTATCATTGTGTCCATCGGAATGTTGTATATACATTCACACATAGTTGAGTCGAATGTACAATCTTATTGGTGTAAATGTCCCACTGCATACCAAAGTCATGCCCCTGTTTATAATAGTTTTTTTTAATGTTTTAACAGTTTCTATTGTGTCTTAGAAGCCTGGTAATACACTCCCAGTATACCCACCTGCCAAACCTTATACCTAACACAGTGAATGTACAATCTTTCCTATAAGCTCCACCTGCTTGTGTGCAGCTAGCTCGTGATGGAGTCAGTGATACAGTCACTGTACTTAGTCACTTCCATGTCCAAAAATAGGCCACAACAAATTCAGCCTTTATTTTATAGCTATTATCTTGTTTCAACAAAGGGAGGGATCCGAGTCTTTCCTCAAAAGATGTTGTTTTGTAGATGCATATGTCATTTGAGCTTTACAAATTTACCTCCACCTTTATCTTTTTACCTTGTATAAAAAAACAGCTGCCAACATAACAAGTGAGAAATATTGATCACTGGAAACAAAAACAGAATATCAGCCATATAGGGGCATGCAAGAAACCAACATTGAATAACTTACAGGAAACAATGAAGCACCTAAAACAGCTAGACCTGAATGGAAAGTGGGTGCAAGACCCAAGACCATAATCCCCGTTTTTAGGCATTACCAGGTGTGTGTTGGTAACTGTGAACCAAAATACCTTCTAAAAACGACAAACAAGTTTCTCAAAATTACAAAGTGTATGAACATTGATGATTATTTATGAGTTTTGTTTGTTCGCTGTTTGACACTGCCCTCAGCAACATTACAGTTATATGATGCAGTCTATTAGTAATCGAGTTTGATATATGCATTTAATTTATTGTAGTTGATCATCTCCTACAGAACAGGGCCTTCATTCTTCCACCAGCTGTACTTGTCACTCAAGTGCCTAGTCATGTTCATTATCCATCTTAAGGAGGGCAGTTTGACAATGCAGTATATTTATTGCACATTACTAGAGTATTGAAGTAGAACTGCAGACACTCCTCATGCTGCTATAGGAGGAATGCTTGCAGATTAGTAAACTAAAGTTGGTGTGTATGTTAGTGTTGACATGTTCAGGCTGGACTTTTTAAAGAGTGGTTCACTCACTTCCCATAACGTAAATTAAATTAAAAATATTAATCCTTGTGAATAGCCTACCTCTGTTACATCACTACCTTAAATCACATATTTTGGCAGTCTTCACTCTATAAAATCTTCAGCTTTTCAACACAAGTCCTTTTCTCCATTAATAATCCATAGGTACATGTAGTTCTAGTATCTTGCTTCCTGTATTTCCTATGCACTTGTTTCCAAAATCTAAATCATAGAATCCGATTGTTGGGAAGGTGGGTGGGTAATAGTGATAATGCCTCTGATGTAATAGTGGTAGTATTCTTTGAAATATTAACAATGATAATTATTGTTTGATAATGCTTGTGAATACCCTACTTCTATGACATCATTGCCAGAGTATACTAGAGACTGGTGGATTCTGACATCTAGTAATACCCTGGATAGTTGACAATCTGTTAAAATTGAGAGACAATAAAACTCACAAATCATTCTTAATTTGGGTTTTTGTCGCAACCTTCACTATTGGACTTCCTGATAGTGCCTAAAACCAACTCAATATTGATGTTATTTTAACGCAAGAATAGGTAAACAATAAACCTTATTACCTTATAAACCCTAATTATCATTATTCCCGCGACTTATGCGTGTGTTACTGGCAACATGTTCTGATAACCGATAATCTTTCTAAGGAAATGTTAAAAGCTATTTTATTTTCCCAAACCCTCCCAACACGACTTCTCACCAAATAATCTGTAAGCCAATAGAAAAAGTCTGGCCTTGTCATGCTCATAAAGGTTGATATTGAGAGTAACTATTTATTTCTCACATTACGTCATCATTGCATTTACTTTTCCCTGTATGTATTTATTATGTGAATATTATGTGAAAGGTCACATGATCTCAAAAATCCATGAACATTTTGAAGGATAAAATGTCATTATTTTATAATAAAATTTGAAAAAAAGTGTTTTATGTCTCTTTAGTGTTTGAATGAGGGGTGTCCTGCCTCCAGCAGTAGGCGACACATTAATATCAAGTGGGAGTGAGTTGGGTTTAACGCACACTTCGAACAGTATTCCAGTCTTTTAACCACGTGTCAGCTTAATGTGGGAGGAAAGCACAAAGTAATGCAGGTCTCGGACATTTACCACTTTGGTGAAACCCACAAGTAACAGGTATGGTGCTGACAAACCCAGGAACTTTATCGGGGTGAACCGGGATTTGAACCCAAAATCATAGGCTTCTAGAGCGCCCAAGATATTGAGGCCCCTGAGACAATTATGCCACCCATGCCCCAATTAATATCAAGAATGGACTTCACCTCAGTGCGGGGAAACTAGCCTGCGCTTAGTGGTGAAGCTGCATCAGGCTACAAAATTCACTCTATTTATCCTTAGATGATTGTTGCTGTGGGGTGCCTTAGTGGAGAAGGTAATTCCTGTGGTGGTGGGGTGCCTTAGTGGAGAAGGTAATTCCTATGGATGTGGTGGGTGCCTTAATGGAGAAGGTAATTCCTGTGGTGGTGGGTTTCTTAGTGGAGAAGGTAATTCATGTGGTTGCGGGGTGCCTGAATGGAGAAGGTAATTCCTGTGGTGGTGGTGGGTGCCTTAGTGGAGAAGGGAAGTTCCTGTGGTGGTTGGGTGCCTGAAAGGAGAAGGTAATTCCTGTGGTTGTGGTGGGTGTTTTAGTGAAGAAGGTATTTCCAGTGGTAGTGGTGGGTACCTTAGTGGAGAAGGTAATTCCTGTGGTGGTGGTGAGTGCCTTAGTGGAGAAGGTAATTCCTGGGGTGGTGGTGGGTGCCTTAGTGGAGAAGGTAATTCCTGTGGTGGTGGTGGGTGCCTTAGTGGAGAAGGTAGTTCCTGTGGTGGTGGGGTGTCTTAGTGGAGAAGGTAATACCTGTGGTTGTGGTGGGTTTCTTAGTGGAGAGGGTAATTCATGTGGTTGTGGGGTGCCTTAGTGGAGAAGGTAATTCCTGTGGTGGTGGGGTGCCTTAGTGGAGAAGGTAATTCCTATGGATGTGGTGGGTGTCTTAGTGGAGAAGGTAATTTCTGTGGTTGTGATGGGTTTCTTAGTGGAGAAGGTAATTCCTGTGGTTGTGGGGTGCCTTAGTGGAAAAGGTAATTCCTGTGGTGGTGGGGTGCCTTAGTGGAGAATGTAATTCCTGTGGTGGTGGGGTGCCTTAGCGGAGAAGGCAATTCCTGTGGTGGTGGGGTGACTTAGTGGAGAAGGTAATTCCTGTGGTGGTGGGGTTTCTTAGTGGAGAAGGTAATTCATGTGGTTGTGGGGTGCCTTAGTGGAGAAGGTAATTCATGTGGTTGTGGGGTGCCTTAGTGGAGAAGGTAATTCCTGTGGTGGTGGTGGGTGCCTTAGTGGAGAAGGTAGTTCCTGTGGTGGTGGGGTGTCTTAGTGGAGAAGGTAATACCTGTGGTTGTGGTGGGTTTCTTAGTGGAGAAGGTAATACCTGTGGTTGTGGTGGGTTTCTTAGTGGAGAAGGTAATTCATGTGGTTGTGGTGAGTACCTTAGTGGAGAAGGTAATTCCTGTGGGTGTGGTGGGTGCCTTAATGGAGAAGATAATACCTGTGGTTGTGGTGGGTTTCTTAGTGGAAAAGGTAATTCATGTGGTTGTGGGGTGCCTTAGGGGAGAAGGAAGTTCATGTGGTGGTGGGGTGTCTTAGTGGAGAAGGTAAGACCTGTGGTTGTGGTGGGTTTCTTAGTGGAGAAGGTAATTCCTGTGGTGGTGGGGTGCCTGAATGAAGAAGGTAATTCCTATGGATGTGGTGGGTGTCTTAGTGGAGAAGGTAATTTCTGTGGTTGTGATGGGTTTCTTAGTGGAGAAGGTAATTCCTGTGGTTGTGGGGTGCCTTAGTGGAAAAGGTAATTCCTGTGGTGGTGGGGTGCCTTAGTGGAGAATGTAATTCCTGTGGTGGTGGGGTGCCTTAGCGGAGAAGGCAATTCCTGTGGTGGTGGGGTGACTTAGTGGAGAAGGTAATTCCTGTGGTGGTGGGGTTTCTTAGTGGAGAAGGTAATTCATGTGGTTGTGGGGTGCCTTAGTGGAGAAGGTAATTCATGTGGTTGTGGGGTGCCTTAGTGGAGACGGTAATTCCTGTGGTGGTGATGGGTGCCTTAGTGGAGAAGGTAGTTCCTGTGGTGGTGGGGTGTCTTAGTGGAGAAGGTAATACCTGTGGTTGTGGTGGGTTTCTTAGTGGAGAAGGTAATACCTGTGGTTGTGGTGGGTTTCTTAGTGGAGAAGGTAATTCATGTGGTTGTGGTGAGTACCTTAGTGGAGAAGGTAATTCCTGTGGGTGTGGTGGGTGCCTTAATGGAGAAGATAATACCTGTGGTTGTGGTGGGTTTCTTAGTGGAAAAGGTAATTCATGTGGTTGTGGGGTGCCTTAGGGGAGAAGGAAGTTCATGTGGTGGTGGGGTGTCTTAGTGGAGAAGGTAAGACCTGTGGTTGTGGTGGGTTTCTTAGTGGAGAAGGTAATTCCTGTGGTGGTGGGGTGCCTGAATGAAGAAGGTAATTACTGTGGTTGTGGTGGGTGTTTTAGTGAAGAAGGTATTTCCAGTCGTAGTGGTGGGTACCTTAGTGGAGAAGGTAATTCCTGTGGTGGTGGTGAGTGCCTTAGTGGAGAAGGTAATTCCTGGGGTGGTGGTGGGTGCCTTAGTGGAGTAGGTAATTCCTGTGGTGGTGGTGGGTGCCTCAGTTGAGAAGGTAATTCATGTGGTGGTGTCTTAGTGGAGAAGGTAATACCTGTGGTTGTGGTGGGTTTCTTAGTGGAGAGGGTAATTCCTGTGGTTGTGGGGTGCCTTAGTGGAGAAGGTAATTCCTATGGATGTGGTGGGTGTCTTAGTGGAGAAGGTAATTTCTGTGGTTGTGGTGGGTTTCTTAGTGGAGAAGGTAATTCCTGTGGTTGTGGGGTGCCTTAGTGGAGAAGGTTATTCCTGTGGTGGTGGGGTGCCTTAGTGGATAAGGTAATTCCTGTGGTTGTGGGGTGCCTTAGTGGAGAAGGTAATTCCTATGGTGGTGAGTGCCTTAGTGGAGAAGGTAATACATGTGGTGGTGGGGTGCCTTAGTGGAGAAGGTAATTCCTGTGGTGGTGGGGTGACTTAGTGGAGAAGGTAATTCCTGTGGTGGTGGGGTGCCTTAATGGAGAAGGTAATTCCTGTGGTTGTGGTGGGTTTCTTAATGGAGAAGGTAATTCCTGTGGTGGTGGGGTGTCTTAATGGAGAAGGTTATTCCGATGGTTATGGTGGGTTTCTTAATGGAGAATGTAATTCCTGTGGATGTGGTGGGTGCCTTAGTGGAGAAGATAATTCCTGTGGTTGTGGTTGGTGCCTTAATGGAGAAGGTTATTCCTGTGGTTGTGGTTGGTGTTTAAGCGAAGAAGGTAATTCCTGTGGTGGTGGGGTGTCTTTGTGGAGAAGGTAATTCATGTGGTTGTGGGTTTCTTAGTGGAGAAGGTAATTCCTGTGGATGTGGTGGGTGCCTTAGTGGAGAAGATAATTCCTGTGGTTGTGGTGGGTTTCTTAATGGAGAATGTAATTCCTGTGGATGTGGTGGGTGCCTTAGTGGAGAAGATAATTCCTGTGGTTGTGGTGGGTGCCTTAATGGAGAAGGTAATTCCTGTGGTTGTGGTGAGTGTTTTAGTGAAGAATGTAATTCCTGTGGTTGAAGAGGGTACCTTAGTGGAGAAGGTAATACCTGTGGTGATGGTGAGTGCCTTAGTGGAGAAGGTAATTCCTGTGGTGGTGGGTGCCTTAGTGGAGAAGGTAATTCCTGTGGGGGTGGTGGGTGCCTAAGTGGAGAAGGTAGTTCCTGTGGTGGTGGGGTGTCTAAGTGGAGAAGGTAATACCTGTGGTTGTGGTGGGTTTCTTAGTGGAGAAGGTAATTCCTGTGGTGGTGGTGGGTGCCTTAGTGGAGAAGGTAGTTCCTGTGGTGGTGGGGTGTCTTAGTGGAGAACGTAATTCCTGTGGTGGTGGGTGCCTTAGTGGAGAAGGTAATTCCTGGGGTGGTGGTGGGTGCCTCAGTGGAGAAGGTAGTTCCTGTGGTGGTGGGGTGTCCTAGTGGAGTAGGTAATACCTGTGGTTGTGGTGAGTGCCTTAGTTGAGAAGGTAATTCCTGTGGATGTGGTGGGTGCCTTAGTGGAGAAGATCATTCCTGTGGTTGTGGTGGGTGTCTTACTGGAGAAGGTAGTTCCTGTTGTGGTGGGGTGTCTTAGTGGAGAAGTTAATACCTGTGGTGGTGGGTACCTTAGTGGAGAAGATAATTCCTGTGATTGTGGTGGGTGCCTTAATGGAGAAGGTAATTCCTGTGGTTGTGGTGGATGTTTTAGTGGAGAAGGTAATTCATGTGGTTGTGGGTTTCTTAGTGGAGAATGTAATTCCTGTGGTTGTGGTGGGTGCCTTAGTGGAGAAGATAATTCCTGTGGTTGTGGTGGGTTTCTTAATGGAGAATGTAATTCCTGTGGATGTGGTGGGTGCCTTAGTGGAGAAGATAATTCCTGTGGTTGTGGTGGGTGCCTTAATGGAGAAGGTAATTCCTGTGGTTGTGGTGGGTGTTTTAGTGAAGAAGGTAATTCCTGTGGTTGAAGTGGGTACCTTAGTGGAGAAGGTAATACCTGTGGTGATGGTGAGTGCCTTAGTGGAGAAGGTAATTCCTGTGGTGGTGGGTGCCTTAGTGGAGAAGGTAGTTCCTGTGGTGGTGGGGTGTCTTAGTGGAGAAGGTAATACCTGTGGTTGTGGTGGGTTTCTTAGTGGAGAAGGTAATTCCTGTGGTGGTGGTGGGTGCCTTAGTGGAGAAGGTAGTTCCTGTGGTGGTGGGGTGTCTTAGTGGAGAACATAATTCCTGTAGTGATGGGTGCCTTAGTGGAGAAGGTAATTCCTGGGGTGGTGGTGGGTGCCTTAGTGGAGTAGGTAATACCTGTGGTTGTGGTGAGTGCCTTAGTTGAGAAG